ACACACACACACACACACTGACACACTGACACACATACACTGATTTTTCTTTCCTAATCCTTACTATTGTCATATTTCCTCTACTTTTTTTCTTTAATTGTTTGTCACCCTCTTGTGAACTGCTATTTCCGGGGTGCTTTGAAAGTCGAAACAGACTTTGTGCTGTTGAAGCTAGAGAGGTGAGCAGAGTAAGCCTGATTTCCTGTAATGACTTCTCTGTTGTCATTCGCCCCTTGGCTCTCATATGACGTTATGCAGTTGCGAGTGCCATAAAATCTCTACTAAATAAATAAAAAAACACACGCCCGCGCGCACACACAACATAGAGAGCACACTTTTCAACTCAATATATTATGTGGATTAAAAAAACCCATTAGGCCTATTACTTATTTTTTTAAATACTTCACAAACTCAAATTCTGCTCTGAGAAGAGCCTTTAGAATTTGGACAGCTGATTTCAAATATCTGATCAGATTTTGGCTACGACGTTTCCTTGTTCAGATAATGGTCAGTTGGAGAAGTCCCCAGTCCAGCCCTATGACGTCACACATCCAGTGACGGCCCACTGACGGGGCTCTCCTTTGCACCGAGCAGCGGCTTTTGGCGAGTAGGAATCAAAATTTAATTACTATAACATAAGTCACCACCGATCCGCAGATCGGCGCAGAGAGTAGGCCGTGTCACTGTGTGCTTGTATATATATATTGGTTCTTATAACTTACGGCGCCTTTTTTTTATAGAGGTTAGGTGACATAAATCGACCGCCTTTGTATTCTCCCAGTAAGGCTTATATATAAGGAGTACCCACCGTCGCTTTGAAATGCAGCGAATGTTGTTGTTGGTTGCTTTTTAAAATCATTGTAGGCCAACAGACTTACTTAGCTCCTCTTGTAGGCCTACAGTTTGACTTGACATTCGAAGCACAAGGTTTTAAATGTTGTGATGTGATAATTTCATCGTATCGCGGTGTGTCGTGTGTGATCAGAGCCAGTCGTGTTTTGACCTCAAAAAAAAAAAAAGAAAAAAAAAAAAGAATCGGCTAGCCACCATAGCCTACTCGTGGGGAGATCATCCAAAAGGTTTATACAGTAGGCCTAGGTGTGGTGGGGAGGGGGGGGGGGGGTGGCAGGCGAGGACAAATGAAATGAGAGATTAAGAGTACAAAAAAAAAAGAAAAAAAAAATAATCGGCCAGCCACCATAGCCTACTCGTGGGGAGATCATCCAAAAGGTTTATACAGTAGGCCTAGGTGTGGCGGGGGGGGGGGGGGGGGGGGTGGCAGGCGAGGACAAATGAAATGAGAGATTAAGAGTACATAATTTATTATAAACCTTGCTGGCTAGAATAAAAATACACATTACACATCTTGCTGTTACACTCACATTATTGCCCTTTGTCTCAATCCCTATTCTGTTGTCTGTGCTCTCTCTTACTTCATGGCTGCTTTGTAGATTGTTGAAGTAAGTACATTCTGTTCCCTTGCTTTTGTCCATTTCAGGCCGGTTCTTTGATCGCTGCACTGTTGTGTAGTTTTAGAGATTGCGTTGTCCTTCAGACTGCATATTTACATTCCGTTATTGTTTTATTTGTTCAAAATTATATCCGTAATTTTAGTGTTATTATTAGGCCTATCATACTGCCAATATAATTCTCTTGAACCTTTTAACCATTTATTGCTTGAAGTCTTTGCTTATATGTAAATCTGTGCAGATAAATTTAGTGTGATTTGATCAAATTGTACCATGTCGAGCAAACGCACTGGAAGTATTGTTTGGCTGTTATTTGAGGGGATTAACGAAATAAAGCTACCAATTAAAAAGAAAAAAACCAAAAGACAATAAATGTACATCCGAGCGAACAGCAGTGTTGAGCAACGCAGCGTTGTGCGCGTGTTAGATCTTTCGCTTGTCGCTCACTCGGTGAAAAGGTTTCCTCTTGTCCAAGTCCCCACCCACCCTTTTTTTCCAAGAAGACACTAGACACGATTGGTCGCCTGTTTTTATCATTCCCCCTCTCCCTTCCCCCTCTGCAAAAGTCGTCTTTTTGTTGTTAAAAAAAGAACAACAAACAAACCAATGTTTCATCACCGCACGCGATGTGCAAGCAGTGGGTGCTATACATAAAGAGGCAGACACACACTGAGCTGAGAATCACTGGATGAATAGTGCTATGACTGAACAGAAAGAATGCTGCAGATAGACTCATCATATTAGGCCTCACCTTTGGCCTACATGTACAAATACATGTATAATAAGAAAAAACTATTCACACACGGTATTCGAATAGCACGAATAGTGACATCGCGCTTCGAAGCTCCAATCATTTTTTAAAAGTTCAAAATCACACAGCACTACATAGTGATTAGTATACACGGAGACAAAAAAGTAGTCATCTCCGGTATACACCTCTCATGTGGTATACTCTAGACGATCCCAGACTGGAACGTTCTTGGACTATATTTTATTGATAGTTTGATAAGGACTACTCATGCCTTCTAAAGCAAGTCACTCTAGCTCTTTGAAGTTCATTTTTGCTGTGTCCATGTTTACCCCATACACATGCTCTCAGTCACTGTGTAAGTGAACTTTGCTACAACTGCAACATGCACTTCAACAGCTGCTTTTTCTAGGCTGTTAGTGTACTCTTCTGAGTTCTGGTCAGTGTTTTGAGAACAATCATATATTATATAATGATAACAGATAAAACTGTGAATGGTTTGACCAGTTCTACTTGTAGTCAGTAATATACGGAATTTTGATCATAAATAGCTGAAGTTAGAAAGTCCCCCCCCCCAAATGTCTGTTTGTAGACTTGAAATTGTAGATGCATGGTGAAGGACGTTCTTTATCATGGTGCTGAATTGTGAAGTCGAGGTATACAGTATACTGATTAATCAGCTGAAGTGTTCCTGAGACATTCATTGAAAGCTTAGAAAGATTTTGAACTTGATTCTGATGAAGAGAGCAGTATGGGCATGCTTCAACCAGCTAGGTTAGGTCCAGGAACTGTTTTGAATTGAGAAGGATGCATTGGTGCGAGAGCAAAAAAAAAAAAAAGGAGGGGGGGGGGGGTGTTAGGGGATGACAAGAGTACAAAAATTGCAGCTGCTGTTCTGAAGTAACTGCTGTATGATTTTCATTTCACAGTGCAGTTGCAGTTTATCTTGGGAACATATCTGTTTTTATCTCGTATAGAATCATCCCTTGCCTGATAGGCAGCCACATGCATTTTCGAAGGTGCTCTTAACAATTCTAAAGTAATCTATAGGAATTGATTTAGAATTTTGCTTAAAGGGCCTACTCGATTTGAGAACCACACAGGGGATCTTTAATATGCAAAACTTTCCCTCTGGGACCTCTGAAATATTTCATCCCTGTTTGAGAAGACTTGTTTTTTGTGCTTCATGTGTCCCAAAGTAAAATTCGCAAATTCACGAAAATGGCTAAAGTTGCGCCGAGGCCAAAAGTTGCGTGCGCAACTTGCGGGTTGCGCACGCGAATTTCTCTGAGGACAGGATAGTATAGAGCTCTGGGGAATACGGTTGAAGTCAAAGGACATGGGATGGAGAGCACCTAACTCTGAGGCTGAGTAAATGCTATTTTAAAAGTGGAGAACAAGGCAGAGAGGGGTAAATTGCACACGAGTCCCCACTATGAAATTGAGTACATGTATTGCATTGTGTGGGCCGTGGGCATAACATTAACACCCCTTTCAACACTGACATTATCCTCAATATGCTTTGGAAAGCTTGGAGGAAACTCATATTCCGTAATTTACTTTTCAAACCAAGGTACCGTACTGGTAATTGTGTTGCAGTCCAGCATACCTACGATGCAAGCAGTATAGTATGTCCGTGAATTTGCCTTCTCTGTAAACTAGCAATGTAATACTAGTCTTTCTCATAGGAAGAAGTTCAGGCTGGCTAAACTAAAGAATATATGAAGTCAAAAGAGGAGTGCAATACACTTCATAAATCCTTTCATTCTTTCGAGTCTGGCATTATAGCTATAGACTCTTACTAGTCTTACTCTTATTCCAATAGAAAAGCAAATCTGCGACTTCTTTTCCCAACTTACTAATGGTATTCTCAGAAAAGGTTTTTCCACCTTTTTACCCCAAATCACCCTACTGCCACTGGGGACTGAGCAATTCTTCGAGATACAGAAAGTGAGAGAACGATGGCTGAATAGGACTAATATATTGTACTGCCATGCTGTGTATGTCCTCTTAGAGACTGAAGTGGTGAAATGGAATGAAGAGGCTGGCCCAAAAAGTTATTGTAAAGTCCTATCAGTAGAGCAGATGACAAACTGAACACTCTGAAAGTTATAACGTTTTTTTGTTGTATATATGAAACAAAGGCATTTGTGCCATTCCTCCACCTTACGACTGGTTGATAGGTATTCTTCTACTGTATAGACCTGGAATGGGCAAGCGTGTACAAGTTGCAGGTCCGATTACAGGGTCGACCCATGGGTTGGAGTGACTTTTCTCGCCAGCCGCATACAGCCTGCGGGCCATAGTTTGCCCATGGCTTCGAGCAAAGCCCATCCAATCAAAATGAATCTCAAAATTTGTCATTTAAGAGGCCCTGTAATAGACAAACTGACCTAGGTTAAAAATAGAGTTGAACTTGAACTGGGACTGTATCAACATCACTTGCTCTGTGCTACAACTTGGTAAGCTGCAAAAAACTTTCCTGCCAAGGGCCAAAAGGCAACATTGTGGACAAAGAACAGTTCAGTATTTGTTTTTTGTCACATTCTTTTCAGAGCCAACGAAAGTATTATTAATATACTTTCTCAGTGACCAGAGCCAGAAAATCACAAGATATACTGTTATTTGTAGTGGCATTTGGTTCCCCACACCCCGTGACAAAAACTAGGAAAAGACGGGCCCCAAATACTTATCAACCATTTATAAACCACATACACAAACAGACACACATACAGCAACAACATTGCTATTGCTATGTAAAAAAATGAAGTAGAACAGACAGATTAAAAGGTGACTTTTAATGACAAAAAACTATACATAAATTAAAAGAATGTCTTAGCTGAAACATGGAATAAAAAGAAAGGTAGTTATGGATGTGTCCGTTAGTCATATGGCTCCTCAACGTCGTCAACATTGAAATTTTCCCCGGATGCCGCTGTGCTTGTGAACACATCAGTCAACATGTGTTGTGGGATCTCGGAGCCTCTCACTGTCAGTGTGTAGCATGCAGTTTCAACTTTTTGCAAACTTTGTCGGAGCACACTGGTCTTCTTGCGAAGCTCTCGAGAGGCATTGTCAAACACAGTGAAAGCATTGTGGATAACTCGCATCATGTCGGCCACCTGGGAAAAGAAAGATATAGTCGTTCGTTCATTCATAAGGCAAACCCAAGTCAACACCTCACTGTGGTCCCCTTTTTCACCTTCTTTGTTAAAGTAATTTTAAGTAGATCTAATTGTGTTTCTGATACATGTACAGTCAACCACTTGAGTGTTAAGTTTGCGTAAAGTCAACAAATTGGGGCTAAATCCCAAGATGAATTCTTTTAAGAGATATTTCGCCTGAGCTAGTGGTGTACACACCTCCAATTACTTTGTTTCTTGTTTTGGTGACAACTTCGGAATTATACTCCCTGAAATTGGGATTACATTTTGTTTATTACCAGGTGCTTTGTAATTTTGTAGCTGTAATCTTCAATTTTCAGTGGCCAGTAGTACAATGGATAAAGTCAACCTTGCTTAAAGTCAACACTTTTTTTTCTGTCCGGGGTGTTGACTTTATCAGAATTCTACTGTAGTGTAACTTGTTTTATTTGTAATTAAGGCGCTTTTGACACTGACATGAGTCTCAATTTTTCCTTATTAGTAAGAAAGAGTGTATGCAATATTTTGCTTGAATGATTTACTCTATTTTGTGAGGCAGCGTGGTGAAATCAGGCGCTCTTCAAAATAATGAAAGTGAAAAAACTGGCATTTTTGCGCAGGTTTGGGAACTTTTATTGAATTTTTGTTTTTCCGCTAAACACCTTTTTAAGTCCATATAACAACACATTTCCATGCGAATTTTACTAAAAAACGTTCAATACATGCACAAAATATGTGATTTTTCAGTTTTAAAGGCTCTCAAGCTATTGCATTTATCACACTTTGGCAGCCGTTTTTTCACTAAATTTACCTCTGAAATCAAGTGACCCACACCTCCTTCAATCGCAAATATTTTGAATTCCATTCAGCATAATGAATATCGTTTTCATCAAAAGGAAGCCAAATAGACAGGCTTTAAGATGATATCTATAAACTCTGTATGCCTCAAAACTGACGAGCGCCTGATCCCACCATGTCGTGACACCTATTATTTTTTAGTGCATTATGTGCATGTATATATGTGTGTATGCCAAGATTGGTCAGGACAACGTGGGGTATGAAAGAATTATGGGACAACATGGCTTGGGACAAATGAATGAGAACGGGGAGCGATTCGCAAAACAATAGAAGGAAAGGCCCTAGAAAACCTTGAATCCTTCTGCTATCTTGGGAGCATAATTGACAGAGAGGGAGGAACAGGTGCTGAAATAAAGTCCTGCATTGGAAAAGCACAGGCTGCTTTCATATCTTTGGATAGGATTTGGAAGACCAGAGAGATCTCACTTCGAACAAAGCTGAGGATTTTCAATTCAAACGTGAAGTCGGTCCTGTTGTATGGATGTGAGGCATGGAACGCATCACAGACTTGTATAAAGAGGATCCAGGTTTTCTTGAACAGGTGTCTAAGAAAGTAACTGAGGATAAGATGGACAGACAGTGTCACCAATGTGGAAGTGTTAAGGAAAACAAGACAGATCCCAGTCAGAGATGAGGTAGGAAGAAGGCGGTGGCGATGGATTGGACATACTCTCAGGAAGTCAGGCAGCTGCACAACAAAGAAAGTTTTGGATTGGAACCCACAGGGCAAGAGATCAAGGGGAAGACCTCGTGGAACCTGGAGAAGAATCACAGAAATCGATGTACAGAAAAGTGGGAAGACATGGAATAACATCAAGAGGCTAGCCCAGGATAGAGAAAAGTGGAGGGTGTTTGTCCGTGGCCTATACCCTGGTGCAGGGTGAGAAAGGCAATAATGATGATGTGTGTATGCATGTTTTTCATGAATATTATGCAATGCGCATAGAACAATGATTGTTTCACGGATTTGCGCGATATAAATGTCATATTATTTTTATCATTATAAGGTAACAATGTAATATTATAACGGGGCGGGGGGAAAATGTAAGAAAAGTGTAAGGAGGGGGGAGGGGGGGGTAAGATTATATTTGAACAGCCCCAAACATAGAGGGAGGGGGGGGGAGAGAGAGAGAGAGAGAAAGAGAGAGAGAGAGAGAGGGAGGGAGGGAGGGAGAGAGGGAGGGAGAGAGGGAGGGAGGGAAACGGAGAGGGGGGAGGGGGGGCGGGGCACACACACTCACAAAAGATTGTCACTTATAAAATAAATGAAATTCTCCAACAAAAAGACATTTTTCAACACTGATCACATAGCAAAATCATTTACCTTGATGTTGGGCAGTCAGGGCTATTCAATAGTAAAGAGCATAGGTACCTTGTTATACCGCTAACACCACTATACTTCTAATGTCTTACTCGTCTCAAGGTCAGCGGTATAACAAGGTTTGACTGTATGCTGTTTATATTTCATTTCACTGCATCTTCTCATTAAAACACAAGTTACTCAAAATATTTTCCTCCAAATAGGGTATAGCAAGAGAAAGGAGGCAAGGAGGAGCACACAATCTAAACCATATATAACAAAGAAGGCTACATGCAACATGATTAAATGTAGCGAAAAGTAAACGTTAGGCTGATCACAATAAATATAGGCCTCATCGAGCAAGACTCCATAGCACAGCAAGAACACAAGCAGCGGCCCAGAATATAAGCTACATTCGGATAGTAATAGTAACAAAATGAATTTAAAACATTGCAGACCATAATTTAATTACAGTCATTACAAAATCCATACAGTGCCAAGATTATTACAATGACAACAAAAACTACAAAAAGCATTAAAAATCTCACCACTCTTGGAGTGTCGAGATTCCCCGCCCCGACACTGTTGATTGCCATCCTCATAAGTTCCCCTGTGAAGTCGGCCACACCCAGCATGTACTCCGAGGGAGGGACGTGCACCAACATCGTTTTTTTATCTTCACTGGCGCCAGCTGGAGACACAGACCCGGTTGGTTCTGGTTTTGTAGAGCTGTTCCCAGCATTGTCATCACTATGGTCCATTGGTTTAGGTTGGTCATCAGAACAGCTAGGATCGCTGTTGTCTTGTTTAGCATCAGGGCCTGCTTCCTGTGAGTCTGTCCCACTGCTCTCAACAGGTACAGACACTAATTTGGGAAATATGAGCTGCTTCTGTATTTTATCTAAATTCACCAACCGCTGCTCTGACAGGTAGTAATAAAACGTCACAGCCTCAATATACTCCTGAAGGCCTGAAAAATTTGAAAGGGAAAAATAATAAATATTAGTCCTGTCATCAAAAGTGCAACAAGTTGTGTTTGGTTTTTGCTGGTAAGGAAATACAATGGAGTCTGCTGAACTAAAAGCTGCGGGGGCTACTGGATTTTTCTTGGGTTTAGAGAGCTTTCTCAAAACTCAAGATACTAAATTTGAAAAAATCAGGCATTCTATTTTTTTGGTTCAATTTAAAAACGCTTTTTTGAATTAACCATACTTGGTTTAAGCTAACTTTACTGTGTATTTGTAAAAAGGAAAACAAAAACAAAAGAAAAAGCATTCAGAATTCTCTTTTGCTAGTAGAATGAAAAAAACAAATAAACAGGAAAAAGAAAAGAAGACAGTACTTGTAATATTCCAGTTAAAAATGGCTGTGATCAAACACAATTGTCTTACTTTTTCATTCTGCACATATTCATTTCTCTGAAAATCACTTAAGTTCAAGTCATTTCCAAGATGCTCATGAAAACCATTCGGTCAATTAAATTCTTATTGTTGTTTACATTAGCAAGCATATCAAAATTAACCCACTAAAATGTGATATCGATATCAATACACTGGATTCTCTTGAAAGACAAATGGATTTCAAGATTCAGTCAACAATCAGTAACAAACTTGACTTTTAAACTGGAGTCCCCTATAACTAAAAAAAAAAAAATTTGTCTTAAAACTTTATGTGCAAACGCAATGCATGTCAAATGTGTGCATTCAAGTGTAAATATTTAAGACCAGTAGTATTTTCCACTTACAACATTAAATAAGTTCTATGAGATTTAGCAAAAAAATCAATCTAACTCTGGAGATGGTAAAAGGTTCACAATGTGTCAGTTACACTATTAATATACCTTAATTACACTAGATTGCATAATTAACCCCCCCCCCCCTAAAAATATTAAACAACACATTAACATCTTGATTATGAAAAAAAAAAAAGCAATCACACGTAAACAGACAAGTGTTTCCCATTTACTATACATATTCTTGTAAACTGAGGACGGCGTGGAATCACTCGTATCAAATGCAAACATGAAAAGTAAACAAATTACACACATGACAACAAAAACTTACAAATTCCAACAATAGTTTTCATTTGTCCCATAGCACATGTGTCACGACGCGGGGGAAACAGGTGCTCGTCAATTTTTAGGCATGAGGAGTTATTATGGACATTTTAAAGCTTGCTCATTTGTCCTGATTTCAATGAAAACAAAATACCTTCTATCTCGAATAAAAGTCGAGTATATAATTTGCGATTGAGGAGGGGGGGAGAGGGGGGGGGGGGGGGGGGGGTGTGCGCCTGGTTTCAGAGTTAAAATAAGAGAGAAAATGACCACAAAAGTCTGATCACTTCCATAGCTTGAGAGTCTTTTGAAACTGAAAATTTACATTTCTTGTGCCTTCAATCAACGTTTTCCAGTAAAATCCACACAGAAAGTTTTTTAATTGGAAAAGGTGTTGAGCCATAATATAGGCGCAAGAAACTAAATTTTCAAAGTAGCTGTATGCCAAATATATCATCTATATCTCCTGAGCATTTTGGTACCATTCTTCAACATCTCAGTCAATTTTTAAGAAAATGGTAGCTGTTTAAAATTTGATCAAATTTGCTAAAGTCGCTAACTGGCTGCAACCCCATGTTTGACAGGTAATAAAAGAGTATTAAGTGCACCAAACATCTCCAAATTAATAGAGTACAATCACTATAATATAGATATGAGGCCTATTTTTTTTTTCAAGACTGTAAGTTCATTACAAATCAGTATTTTATTGCCTCAAACACGATGATCTGTCAATATTTCGACAAAAACACCGAGCGCTGACTCAGCTGGCGCCGCACCAGCCCCTGCGGCGAGCGAGGTGTCTCTATTACTGTAGTGAGCCGCGTGCTCCCCGCGTTGGGGGGGGGGTGTCACATGCTTTACGAGTTTTGCGGAAGGATTGATGCCAAATAATTCCAAGCTGATTACTTTATTCTTATAGAAAATGAACTATGGCTACCTATTTTGAGCCGGTATTTTACATATTTCGTGTAAAAAATGATCTTTGAAAACTTTGGCGGTATTTTTCAAGGCTTTTTATTTAAACAACAAAGGCCAAAATTATACCAAGGGAAAGCCCGTTTAAAGCTCTACAGTTCTCCGTCAATAAAAAGACGGTATTTAATCATCGATCTTTCCGCAAAGTATTTAAATAAATGCATGTCAATTTTTGAACTGGCCGACCACGCATTTTGACCATGAGGGGTTTCGCCTTCCTCTGCGATTCTCCAGCTCCTAATAATCGGACATATAAAAAACTAAGGAAAAGCTGAACTTTTACAAGGTGTACAGCATCTGGAGTGTTATGGTGAAAGAGAAAAGAAACAGCAATCTGAATTACCCCGAATTCACCGATACCGCGAGCTCGGAAGGCCGCGAGGCCGTGTTTACGCTTCCTACATAATATAAAATAATGGATAAAAGGTGCCAAACCAGCGGAAAAATGCCTGTTTCTTCGATATCAATATTTTGAAGAGCACCTGATTTCACCACGATGCCTCACATGTCCTAAAATTTTTGGTCCAAGTAAATTAAGAGCTCTGTTAACATCTGAAATTTTTCTTTGTAGGCCTACCTATTCCATAAACGCAAATTTTCATCTACATAACAAAAGTTTAAGGATTGCAAGAAAAAGCTGTGATGTAAGTAAGTGCTTTACCACTAGTATATGCCCTCAAATACTGATATGAATCTTGTCCTTCCAACTCTTTTGCAATTTCCAAGAATTTTGTGGAATGGAGTTCATGTATCTTTTCTGCAGCTTCTGCAAGCAATTTTTCGGGATCGTCAGATCTGAGAGACAAGATTGCATAAACAATTTTCAAACATGACAGATATTAGTAATTGTTTTTACATTAAACACTTTTAAAGAAATGAAAATACACTACTTTGTTAAACACTAAGCCCTTTACCATTACAATGAAAAGGTTTTTAATCCCTGTTCCCCCCCTCTTTACTTTATGCATTTTTTAGTCCCTTAATACAGCTATTCTTAACATGAAGAAGTTCTCTGGTCCAGTGAAGTTAGTTTAAAAAGATTTTAACAACTTCTGCTCAACAACAGTGAAAACATAATAATATTTTCAGCTGCTCTGTTCACGGCAAGGGCTGAGTTGTGGGGGAGGGGGTAAACACTTGCGGACTCAAGAGGAAGCGGTGACACTGATTTTTGATGAAAATGTTGAGAGTTGTGGACAATGTGTTTTATAATACAATGGCTCCCAAATGAAATCAGAGTACATTCATCTTGTCTATATACGTGCTATATTACTAATGAACTCAGTAGCTGGTACTCATTTTTTTGCTTTAATGACATGATCAAATCAAGAAAAGAAAAACCAAAACATTTCTTCGGAAGGAGCTACAGCCTAATGAGTTTATAAAAAAAAAAGAAGATAAACTGGTACAGCTAGAAAGGCATATATGGAAACCTGGCAATTAACGCAGGGACATCCTCCTTCAAGTATAGGCAGTTAGGAGTAACAGTTGGAAAAGTAAAGGTTAGGCCCGCCCCCATGCCCCAGCTCTTTACATTCAGCTTCATGGTTCCTTCTTCCACCTTACACAAGTGTAAGAGTAACGGGCTGTGTGTTGTGCCAACCGTGCCAGATTTAAGCTTCTGTTACTAAGAGTTTAATGTATAAAACTTACAGAGGAAAGCATTGAGTAGTACTCACCCAATGACTCGCTGCAGGAGAAATATTAATCTCTTGCTTTCAATGGTAATATCCCTGCTCAGCTTGAAAATGCGTTCAAACCGATCATTCCTGTTGTCAAGTTCCTTTTGAAAGACTCTAAAAGCCTTGACAATGGGACTGTCATCTGCATGTGATTCGCCCTCCTTTGAAGGTTTTCCTTATATCAGAAAAAGACAAACAATGTGCCAACCATTAAAAAACATTAAAAACAATGACAACAGTGTGGTATAGGATCGAAAACCCCCCACAATTAACAGCTATACTCATTGGTTCAGAAGCAGAAAAATATTGTCTTCTAAGCGCACACTAACTTAACTAAGCTAGGCACACAGAAACAATTTGAAACAGAACTCGGGGATACAAATATTATCTCTTGTCTGAGTAAGCCAAGAGCATCAATGCTAAACTTGAAAATGATAGAAGGGTGATACATGTAAAATGAATAATGATGAGAGGTTTACCGAGCAATGAAAAACACATGCTGAGACCTCAAAAGATATCAAAATGACCATTAATTTTAAGATATCAAAACGGGTATTCATATAAAATGTACAATGCTCCCACTCATGACAAAGCATTTGAAAAGCACAATTTGAGCATTAATGTTACAAAACCACACAAACATGTAAACCAGAAAGAAAGTTTGGTTTTTAGACTTTTAAGTATGACTCACTCATTTCCTCTGTTTATAGTCCCATCCAACTTTGTTGCCTGATGGTAACAGATTTCTTTTATTTCCGAAAACAAAACAATCCCCCCCCATCCTAATTATGCACTGACTGATAATGTGCTCAACTAAGAGAGAATGCAAACACCAGCTGTGAAGACATCAGATTCTTTGATATTCAGCTTGACATATGGCTCAGCACTCTTTGCTCATTGCATGGATCCTCCGTGATACAGCAGCCACAGATATTTAGATAGCGTCAGTTGGAATCTGTCTCCTGATTTGGGGTAAGGGAGGTTACTTGAGATAGCTGCACAGCTCTCACGATTTGAAGGCAAAGAATGAAAAACAAGGGGAACCGTGGTTTTCTATTTCTAGATGGCGCCCATGACCACTTGGCGACATCTCCCGCACCAGGCTGTTTCACTTGGGATCAATATGCTACCTGAGTACTGAGGAGCAACAGAGCCTCGATATTATGTTTTGTATGTTATAGAAATAGAACAGCATCAGTCCTTTTTGCAACCAAGGATATTATTTTACTCACTGACCTGTCTCACATTCAGATATTCTAAAGCACTTTTCCTGTTCATTTTTTTCTGTTTTACATAGATTTTTACTTTATGTCCAGCGAAAAATTATTAGTTTATGAGATACATGGATATTTTTATACAAACTATTTGTTTGTTTGTTTTAGTAGAGGTTTTACGGCGTTCGCAACTGCATAAGGTCATATGAGCGCCAGAAGATTAGAGGTGTTACTAGAGTGTAACAAACAAAGAAGAGAAGAAGGGGAGATAAGGACGATAGATGTTTGATAGGAAAGAAGAAGCAGACCACACCAGAGCAACCGCCAACCACCCGCTCGAACTATTTACAGTAGGACGTGTTATGGGCGTTTGGTTTCAGGGGGGCATGTTCCCTAGCCTTAAATAAATGTTGGGGGGTTGCAGGGGGGCATACACCCTCCTGTATTTCACCATTATTTAAAATAAATGTTTTGCAATTAGGTTTGATATTTTCTTGAAAACAATTAATAAAAATTTGTGAGGGTTTTATTGGCCATATATTATGTGTGTTCTGAAGAAAAAATTATAGTTCAGCCCCCCGAAACAATGCATCTCCGTGCGGGTCTAAAAGTGAAAATTTATCCAGCTAGGAAATTCAGTGAAACAAACAAATGATAACACTGGGAGGAAGGTTTTACAGCAGTATAATTTTTATCTTGGAGAATACTGCAAAGGATAACCTAGTGAAAAAGTAGCAATGCCAACGAAAAATTGATTTTTCGCTTTAGTAATTTTTTATTTGGTACTTAAAAAAGGATTTTTAATTCTAAGAATTATGCTTTTTTAAATTTAAAGAATCGGTTCATAAACTTTAAAGTTATGGGGTTGTAAAGGTCAGCAAAAATATGGATGGCCCGCATAAAAGAAAAAAACTTAAAAAACTGGACCACATAACAGCAGATTCTGAAAGAAAATCAACGACATCTCAATAATAAATAGGAGTGTTTGAAATAAACTTGGCTACCCTTCGTGATCTTGGGCGGAGAAATCCTTTCTGCAGTTAGACTAAGTACTTACCAGGTACTAGTGACTTACAGTTAGTGTTACGCGACCCGCGTAGTTCTGCTTGATTCGAAAAGTTAAATAGCCGTAGCATCTTTGTAGACAACCAAATTAATTTACTTTTGTGTTTTAACATCATTTTTTAACTTTGTTTTGGTCAATTTGATCGTCCACACCGATAGACAGTATTCGGAAAGAGATAGAGAGAGAGAAGAGGGGAGGAGTAGATCTTGCGAGAACTTTCGGGCAAAACAAAATGGCGACCCCCGTAGTTCGGCTCGATTTGAAAAGTGAAATAGCCATAGCATCTTTGTAGTCAATAAAATTAGCTTACTCTTGTGCTATAACGTAATCTTTTCTTTGCCTTTATCCATTTGATCATCCACATCAATAGAAAGTATTCCGAAATTAGGAAAAACAGGTCTTGTATCACAGCGGGTGAGAATAGCCTACGGTGGCAAGTCTCACTCGGGGTGAGAGGTCGATCGTATTTCTATTCTCACCCCGGGTGAGAATAGCCACTTCCTTCCCTGTCACAAAAGTCGGGACCACCATATTGCGTCGGTGCATCCTCTTCCCTTTCTAAATCCCAGTTGGCCTCACTCAGAAATGGTTCAACTTTGTGTCTTGCTCGCCATGTAGATCTATATATAGATCTATATATAGATCTAGATATCTAGATCTAGCTAGATCTAGATCTACTATTTATTGAGTCAATCATGGGTCTCAACTCAGAATTTTTAAAAAGGAGGAACTTTCCACGTGATCGCGACAGAAGCCCATTTTCGCGAGACACCCACTATTATTATACTGTGGGACCCTAGAATGTTGAAATAAAAACCATCAATTTATCAAAGCAAGGTTATTTCATACCAGTTTGAGGGTTTGGAAGATAATTTCAAGTAAGAGTCACTTACCAAATATTTACAATCTTGATTACGTACAGAAAGTGGAGGCGCACTGTGGTCTTGAGCGACTTATTTATATTTTACCTCCATCATGTTCGTCTGCATATATAAACTATATCAAAATGAATATTGTTTTGAACCTGGGAAAAGGCCTAGAACCAGAATATCGACTGTTATGAGAACCAGTCTGGGTGTAATGATTCATATAATAAATGTGAAAGACAAAATTAATGCTCAAACTCAAAGTAGAGTAATAACTTGAATAGCTCAAGTAAACCTATTCAGTGTGAGAGGTGTAAGAACTGTGGGAGGGCAAGATGCAGTGACACTGAAAATATGCGAATCTTGAACAAAAAGCTAAAATATAGAGACATAATTTACTCTCACCCATCCATTGAAACGTGAACACTTAGGCCCCTGCCCTAAGTTCATTAACACGCTTACAAGTAGTTATGATCCCGATTATACACAAGCAGTGCTTCCACCAGCTGAAGCTGAAAAGTAAGGAAAATTCTGCAGGGGGTCTGGGGGCCGCAGAGGCCCCCAGCAGGGTCCAGGGACAGCGTCCCGTTCGGGGTTCAGGGAGCGAAGCCCCCGAAGAAAAAGAAATTCAGTGCTTTTAGAGGGTAGAAAATTGGCATTTGGGAGCCTGTTTGAAGATATTGCCTACAGCCCATAATATTAATTTTTCACCAACATTTTGTCTTGTTTGACTTCATCGCCAGCATATCTTTCCAATGTTGGAAATGTTTAAAAGCAGGTTCCCCTTTCATTGCAACTATAATTCAATTAATTTGGAGTCGTACCATTGACAGCAGGCAAACCTGGGAATAATGAATAGATGTGCCTTCAAAATACGGTTGCGCAGCGTATACCCACATTTTTTCTAAATTTTCATGTCTGAATGTCGCCTGTCACAACCTCGGAACACCACTTCGAATTATTCTTGATTTTATACGTGGTGCTCACTATGGTCGGGATCGGCCCGATTGCCAGACTCGATCGCCTCAAAAACAAACATGTTTGTTTTCAGTTTCAAAGCAAACACGGTTGTTCGACCGAGTCGGGCGATCAGCGCAATCGGCCGATCCCATCCGTAGTGGGCACGACCGTATCAGCATATTGTTTCATCGCGGCCCTTATATTGCGTTCACGTGCCGTAGAATCTTCGCATTGATAATTTCTCTAGATCTAGATAAAATTTGCGAAAAAAGTTTCTTTCCGACAGTAATTTTCTGTCTAAGATCAAAATCAGTCTTGATCAACACGCAGATTTTCCAGCCGCGGCAACAATCCGAAGATAGACGGAAGGAATGAGTGAATGACAGAAAGGAGGAAATTGGCACAAAAGGTTCGCCAGATTTTGATCCACCTGCAGGTAAAAAATGTACTGCAGACCAACACGCAATGAATGCATGGGACTGGGGCATAGCGGTATAATGTCCGATTGCAGGAAATGCGCAATTTGGCAGGTTTCTATAACGTTAGATTGTTGTCGAGAGAATTACCGTAAATATCCGTACCTTATACAAGACGATACGAAGGCGAGTACGGAATTTCGGCAGTCCTGCACTGTCGCAGTTTTTTTTACGGAGGGAGTAGATAATGATGGAGGGACAAGTACGGAACTGGCAGAAAGTACGGATTTCCGTAAAAATACGGAAAAGTGGAAGCACTGACAAGGCATGCACAAACGCGCACTTTACTTTGCAGAGAGCTGTAGTAGTAACTACAGTAGTAATCAAAATTCTAAAAATATTAAAATTTGCTTCCAATTTCTTAAAATTCTTTTTTTGTCCTCTGGTGTGGCGTCCAGCCCTCCCCCATCCCCGAGTGTATCTTTTAAAAAAAATCAATAATCTCCCCCCATTCCTGTACTTCACAGCGCTCAGAACGCGCGCAGGTTCATTGACCGGTCACAATGACGAGCCCGACAAGACGCTTGTATAACTTTCTTTTCTTTTTTTCCCCCCACAAGCGACAGCACAGTGACGAATATTATTTTCATGGCGACACCAAGTTTGTAATGAAGAACCTGCATGTTACAAATGTTGCGTATTTAGACTTTTACAGACGAAAGTGGCTATTCTCACCCGCCCGGAAGTTCTCGCAAGATCAACTCCTCCCCTCTTCTCTCTCTCTCTGTCTCTTTCTGAATACTGTCTATCGGTGTGGACCATCAAATTGACCAAAACAAAGTTAAAAAATGATGTTAAAACACAAAAGTAAATTAATTTAGTTGTCTACAAAGATGCTATGGCTATTTAACTTTTCGAATCGAGCCGAACTACGCGGGTCGCCATTTTGTTTTGCCCGGAAATTCTCGCGCTACTCCTCTCTCTCTTTCTCTCCACTGCCCACAGACAAAATTGTACGCTTTTAGTAGGCTACAGTTGTAATGGAACGTTTGTTCACGGCACAGAATTCTACAATTTTTCTGTTATCACAGTGTAGAATTCTGTGGTTTAGGGTGAACGCAAAATTTGGTGAACGTGCACCAGGTGAGAATAGCCACAAGACTCGCCTGCACTATTCTCACTCCGGGTGAGAATAGAGGTGGCCTTTACAGACACATTTCTGAGATCTTGATTTTCCGGTCGAGCCTCGGTTTCACATACAATTCCGCTTGCCGCCTGTTCGCGTGAAACACTCTCAGACCTGGAAAAGCCGGGCTGGATTGAACTTTGGTGGACCCACCGTGTTTATATTATTAATACGCACTAGGCAAACAACGGACTGTACAGTCATGGGTCCTAATCGACCGCTACGCGAACTAGTTCCTGGCGACGCAAGGTGGAGGGAGTGAGGGCTGCGAGACTGCCCCGAGGAACCGACGCGAGGCGGAGTGAGTGAGGGCTGCCAGAATACCAAGAGAGAGAGAGAGAGAAGGGGGATGATGACTTATCAGTTCAAACAATACAAATTAGCGCGCGTGCGCGTAATTGCCCATTGTTGCGTAATGTCTTGGAGGCTGGCTTACGTTTGGTGGACCGCACCTCCAGCACTTTGATTACGTCGACAGCGGGGGGGGGGGTTTCAGGGGGGCCTGCCCCCCTGGTCACAATGATAATTAAGAAAACACTTGGAGGATGGCTTACGTTTGGTGGACCGCACCTTCAGCACTTTGGTTACGAAAACTTATAGTATTCGACAGCGGAGGGTGGATGGGAGGTGGGGGGGTTTCAGGGGGGCAGGCCTGCCCCCCTGGCCACAATGATAATTGAGAAAACACACATAATGCAAATCAATAATAAACAGAGAAAAGAAAAGGGGACCAGGAACATTTTAAATAGTTGGTTCTGCCCAAGAACTTTAGTGGCTAGGCATTAGATACCATGATAGATGCGCGGGTGAAGTTTACCGGACCAGTGAAGAGAGGGGGAGACATGGTGGAGGTGGTGCCATGCCGTGACTAGATTGACCAATCAACGCTTGGGTCTAGCCACTCGCGCCAACTCACGGGCTTTGCGGTGGAAAAATCCGGTAGAAACTTTCAGTTGACTAAATGTGCCCGAAGTGAGAGGATGCAGGCAAGAGAGGGAGAGGAGAGAGAGGGCGCAGTGGCGGCCTACGGCCGCAAGGCCGCTCTGCGGCCAAGGAAGAACAGTGGACCAGCGCATGGCATCACACGACGCCCAAAAGTAGTTCCGGCCCCCCTCAATGGTGGGTCCACCAAAGTTCAATCTTACCAAAAGCCGAATTAATATCACAATCGCGACCGGCAAAAATGAACTTAAAGACGTTATCGGATTTGGTTTTCAAATAATATTCGAGACCTTTTTGTACTTTCCCGCGTCTCCGCGATTTTTTTCAAATTCGCAGGTAATTCCCGAGGCCTGGCAGTCACTCTGCTTCCAGCATCTCTTTCTGATTGACCCGCTGTCGCGGTAGCAGAGTTTATCGGAAGAAAATGCGGTAGCGGAAATCCGCTAAAAAATGCTAAATAGTGGAATATTGAGACCCATGGAGTCAATATCGTTGCGAGTAACCAGGGCTTTCAAAGGGGTAATGTTCACATTTTGACACAACAGCGTCTTTCACAAAAAAGACATCAACAAGATAAGATACGTTGGGTGATAATCATACCATCTCTTTCTTGGTTAGATTTAGATTTATCTCTCCAATCCCCTTTGTTTCTTCTCCCTCTGCCTCTGTGACCAGTGGAAGTCGCCATTTTCTTTACCTTGCAACCTTTCAACTTTTGACTTCGTACTTTTTTGCTTTCACCGCTGTAGGGGGGCCTAGAGTCTAGTATTCATAATGGAAGAGGCTAGCCGTACTTAATGACGGCTAGACTGGCGGTCTAACCGTACTTAAGTACGGCTAGACTCACAGTCTAGCCGTACTTATTCTTAATATGATGGCTAGACTGACCATTTACAAAAAATAGGCCTACTGAATTGTAAATATACATTTTTAGTGTGAAGTACCTTAAGTATTTGAATTTGAGATAAAACCAGGTGCCTTAATGACAGTGCATGTATTTTATACCTCAAGTCTAGCCGTACTTAAGTACGGGTAGACAGCCAGGCTAGCCGTACTTAAGGACGGCAGACTGTCAGGCTAGCCGTACTTAATATTGATGGCTGAATTGTAAATGGAATTTTTAGTTTGCAATGCCTAAAGTATTTGTATTTCAGACAAAACCAAAAGGTGCCTTACTGACTTGCATGTATTTGAACCTGAATAATTACTAGATCTAGATCTAATGAGACCTGTGTACTTAACAGGCTTGAGTCGATTGGGCCAAACCTAGATCTAAGTACGGCTAGACTCTCAGTCTAGCCGTACTTAAGTACGGCTAGCCACTTCAATTCATAATTCATGCAATTATAACAGAATCGATTCGCAAGGCTGATGCTTGACAATGATAGTCATTGTGCTTGATGAGAGTACAAGACCTGAACTTTAGGCTAGAGTACATGATGTTTATAAAATGTGTTGCTGAGTATGTATTAAGAAGATCCCAGATTGCATTGCAATTGTCCTTTCATATAAATAAACTTTTATTAACTTTTTTTCCCTGAAAATGTTGCGTTGGAATTGGAATTCAGGCGTATGTACTTCTAGAAGACGCCACAGAATTCTACACTAAGTGTAGAATTCTGTGGAAGACGCCCACTTCAAAACTTCGAATTGAAAATATAACGGGGAGCCCTCATCCAGTTAGGAAGGGAGACCACTGTCAATATAAATTGGTTGTTCAGCGCTGTCCCCATCATCAATGTCATTACTGTTGTTGTTGCCGCTGATGTAGTTATTTTTCATATTAAATGTTACTGGTCTGTCTTTCTTTCCAATATGTCACTCCCTGCGGCATGCAATAATTGCAGTAACCTTTTCAAAACGCTTGAAAGTGTTCTTTTCAAAAGAAGTACGGTAAGACTTAAAACTTGTAATTTAATTTGCATGGAATGAAGTTGGTGAAGCTGCAGCGAGCACCTAGCTCAGCAGCACATCTCAGTGATTGGCCCAAATATCTAGATCTAGATCTAGATATAGATCTAATCTAGATCTAGATTAGTAGTAGATCTAGAGTAACTGGCCCAACCCGCGACCACTTGTCGTATTTTGCTTCTCAGCGGTCTCTGTTGGCAAAATAGGTCACGCGATCCATGTTCAGGGCTGCTTCAGTGTGTCAACTCCTGGTTTATACCGTGATATCGTCACTCATTCCAAAACGTCATTCGCAGATTTCACCTTTTATCATTTTAATGTTCTGCCCTTGGCGCGACCGCATGTCGTAAGCTCGACCGCATACATAACAGGTGCTAGAAATTTGTTAGTACACTATTTAAAGGTTAAATCATTTCTTTAGCAAATTATGATGAAAACAATTATCTTACTAGATCTAGATATCTATAAACAGAGGAGAGACAAGTGGTCGCGGGTTGGGCCAGCTACTCTAGTTAAGTAACTGAAGAAAACTTCTTAAAGAATGTTTCCAAAAGCCTTTCACTTCGAACTCGACTGCTGCACTAGCAGACGACTGGCGTTCTCGGAAAAGGATTGGCCAAAAGTGGAACTAGACAAGGGATGTAACTCTAATAAAACAGATTGCACACGAGCTGCTCAAAAGGAAAAATGGGGAACTGGTTGTGCTCGGGGCACGGTCACGCCAAGGGCCGATATCTCTACAGATCTCTAGATATCTAGGTGAAGAATTTCCGCCATCTATTTTTGTCGTCTTCCAGGGCTTCCCTCACTGGCTGACTGGATCTCATCGTGGCGGGCCCTTGTGCGTGTGCGCGCGTGTGTGTGTGAGCACGTGCTTGTAGCTGTGTCTGTGTGTGTGCGTGTGCGCGCAGGCATGTGTGTGTGTGTGTATGCGTGTACAACTTTGAGAAGGTAAATTTATGGAACGAGAATTGCTGAGATTGTTTATAAAAGATCGCAAATAAATACAAAAAAACAAACACGACGAGATTCAGTCAACTGGACTGGCGAGGGAAACCCTAGTCAGTCTTGGGGGAAACTCCAGAAGACAACAAAAATAGATGGCAGAAATACGTCATCTATATTTTGACCAATCACAGAAGAGTGCTGTAGCTTCATGTATTTAATTTAGATCTAGAATCTAGATGAGCCTTTTCCAATAGGTGGGGGTTTCTTCGTATTTATACCTTACAAAATCCTTTCTTATTCCAATAAGAATGGTGCTACAGCTTTAAAATTTGTATATATATATATATATAGATATAGTAGTATATATATATATATATATATATATATATATATATATATATATTATATATATATATGTTGTGCTGATGATGTTTCAGCTATGGGAGCATAGTTCAGAAATAGCAGTCGGGCCATCAGAAGAAATCTTACAAATATTTTAAGTTCTGAAATCGAGATATATAAGCACTCCTCCTGTGCATCATGCAATGATTTGGGAAACTTTTTTTCTCGACTGACAATACGATCAGGCTGGGCAGGAGGCAGTGGTCAAACTACACACATCTGACTATTCAGGAAAGTTTCCATGCTAGCACACCACTCAAGCACTTTGAAAACACTTTAAGATTTCATACCCACATTACACTGAGCATCTGCACCGTTCTGAGCTCACATAAGTGGGGTAAAAGCTACCCTCAAATCGCACCCCTTCCCCCCTCCCTTGCTTGCTGGCATGGCATAAAGGTGAGAGCCAGTGAAGGCAAACTTTGGAATTTTGTTTCAGTTAAAAGATATCAGGCAAAGCATTTTCTGACTTTAACAGATCAAAACCCTGTGAAGGGAAGGAATTTTTCGGTCCTTTTTCCCAGGCTTAAAAGGTTTCAGTCTTGAACAGATGTATTAAAGAGGACTTATAAATAGGGAGGAGCGGGGAGATGCTGTCATGACTGGTTTCTGACTTGGACGGGTTTCCTTTTTCTATAAATGGCAGATTTGACTGTACAAGTATGTAGTATTTGCTTTTGTTAGCGAAATTGGATACACTCACTACTCGGACAAAAAATGTCTTCGAAAGTTAATTAACGGACACAGTTTTGTCATAAGATAAATGCACTGTGACTTTAAAAAAAAAGTGTTTTCTCTTGCGATACCCTAGAAGAGTCATTTTTAAGTCTAGAAATTGAAACATGAGAAGCCTATGTTGTGCAAATGCCCACCCTGGGATTGTATTATTGCCAGTCATTTTCCTGTGCTCTTAACTTTCAGTAGGGCTAGCTTACGCTACACTTCACTTCTTGACCTAATATGAATTGTACTGAACTGAACTATTCTGTAGGGGGCTCTCGTGGCATAGAGGTTAAGGTGTTAGCCTCTCTTTCAAAGGTCCCAGGTTCGAATCTGGGTAGTGACGACGGAAAAAGTTTCTTCTCTAATATTGTCTTGTGGTCTGCTTACGGCTCCACTTTCTGCCCCCTCCCCCTCACCTCCCTTGTCCCTTCCTCTGGGCTCCTGACTTGTTCTGCAGCCTCTCTACTGCTACTCCGTGGCTCCTTCAGCCTTCTTACTCCTGTCTTTCACACCCCTAATCTTATGTTAGAAAAGATCTACACTTACCCTTCTTGGACAAGGGCGAAAAATCTTGGATGTCTCGTGTGGAAGTTGCGCATGTTAAAGATCCCTTGGTGGTCTAAAATCGATTAGAGTAGGCTTTGGCTGCCACCCGAGCAAAATTCAACATTCCCTACCAACTGAAATGTTTGATGTGTCCCGCGCGCTCGACCTTCTAATAAAATATAACTTATATGCAGTTGTGGGCGCTGTATAACACTTTAGAAAAAAAGAACTATACTGTGGCACCTCATGAATGAAGCACGAAAGGGTGTTTGGATTGGGTGGGTGGAGGCTGTTCATTTATTGGGGAAAGTTTTTTATAGTTAAAAATAGCCCTGTGATACCATAGAATATTTACTTAATCTAAACTTAAAGCATAAAAGCTAGCATAGTCTTTTCACTAGTTCCTAGCATCTTTTATTATTCACTTTACTGTGAAAGCATATTCAATTTTGTTTCTTGTCTCATTGTAACCCTATTCAACTTGAGAGTTTATAAAGTATAAGATGAGCTAGTCACTATTGTGATTTTTTTATTTTTTGTTTCCCTGTTTCATTATGATAAGAAGGAGTTAATGCACATTATTATTTAAGGTATATAACTGCATTGAAATTTTGTCTATGTTAGAGGTAACATATGGGTCTTTTAAATCTTTCCTTCGCTGCTATTCCTTCAACCTTGAAACAAGAGTCATTAAAGATTAATAGAATGAGTGGACTTTTTTATACTGGAGTGAGAAGCAGTCTAATTTCATGAAATGTTTTTATAATTTCTTTGTTTTTTTTTTGTCAGGCCTTGCTGTCCGTACACAAATGCATCAAGCACTACTCAAGTGAAGCAGAAGAGAAGAGTGATGTAATAGGTAATGATGTGTTTCTTTCAAACCTTGTTTCTTTAAAAAGAATAAAAAGCAAAATGAAATAAAAACAGCTCTTTGTGAGTGAAATTAGTAGAGATTGACTTATGGTACACCGTCCCTAAATTTTCTCAAAGCGCTCATGGTAGTAAGATTTAGGATTAGTAAATTTTCAGAATCTTATCCAATGATTCAGTTGTGCTTGTAACAGTTACATTTATAGTTATTGATTTGTTTTGTGTATGCCATTATCTTTGAAACTGGAAATATTGAATATTGTTATATGTAATAAATGAACTTCTTTGCTCTCTTGCACTTGTGTACAGTACTGCCATTGCCAATTTAGAGTTGTTTTTGTAATCCTTTTAAAAAATAAATTAACTTCATTTACGTGCAGTGGTGGAAGGGGGTTGATTTAAAAGTCTGAAGCACACTGATAGTTTGCCTGTTGAGATACAGGAAACTTGGATACAACATTCTTAGACTCAATAAAAGAAGATGGGGTTCCCATTTTAAAAAAAAATTCGTTAAAATCATAGAATAACTTAGTTCACCACACATGGAATGGGCAAACTCAGATTCAACAAAGTTGCTTTCTGGGCGAACAGACCCACTGTCACAGCTTACTTCAACTACTCTGCGTCTGGGGACAATCAGTTGCCCTTCTCTGTGAATCATTACATGATACACATAGCCATCTTATGTGGTCAATTAAAGGCTTTCTTTCACATCAAAAGATGTGCTTTTGACACTTGCATAAATGTCAGATGGGCGGCTAGCATGTGTGGGTGTAGGTGTGGGTGGGTGGGTGGGACGGGATGCATAATTGTTAGAGGAGTGGAATGTCGGAGAAAGATTCAGGTGCAATGTACTCGTAAATGTTTGGCTGCGGCTATTGAACAGTGATAGCCATACGATAGATCTATGTAATGAGTTGTATGCTGGTCCATGGAAACAAACATTGCCCTGTGCTAGGCCCTGCACTTGGCAACTTGTTCAGCAGACAATGTGTTGTATGACGCAGGTGTGATTTTAGCAAATTGGCCATGATTTTAAAAAAAATATATGTAATTTATTTTTTAAGCATGGAATGTTGTTTTTGCTCTTGATTATGATTAGGAATGTGTTGTTAGTTTTCAGCTCAGTGATATTTTTCAGGAGATGAAAGCAAAGAAGCAAAGTTACCTTTAAAGGTATCCAGAGAATCAAAGTTTCCTGTAAAGCATAGTCACACCCGTCTCGCATGGCTGGAGTCAATGGACACACTTGAAGGGCAGAAACTAGGGATGGTAGATCTCCATCCTGATGTCTTTGCTACTTATCCAAGGTAATACTTGCCTTTAGATGCTTTATCACCATAGTGTACAGCTTAGTGTCAGTAATAAAAGAGGGAAAAACGAAACGGAAATTTGGCAAAAATCCTAAAGTGACTCACAAACATCTACTTTTTACACATATATTATATTATGGTATAAATTCTTTTTGATGGATACAGAAAATGCATAGAATTTTTTCCCGCTGACTTTTTACCAGATTATTAATTTTTTAAGGAAATTTCACCTAAAAAAAAGTAACTGTATTATGGATATTTATGTTACTTGTGACAGGCTCTTGATTTGAGAGTTTTGGACAGACTTCTACTTGCTCCAGGAAATGAACTGTTGTGTAGAGGTCAACTTTATAGGCTCTGATGGGGTTTGTGAAAGGACAATTTCAGATTTCTAAAGTGCGACATGTCCTTACCACTATGATGCCACTTACGACATAAATACAGTATAACACGTATAGGTTGAACACAGAAGACTCGAAATCACGCATCCGCCAAACTGTGCCTGCGGTCCCTTTTTTTCTTCTTTTTTATCTTTGTAAGATATCCCTTGAACTACCGAGGCCGGTCCCGACGAATTCAAGCTATCCGTGTTAAGTGTTATACTGTATATGACCCTCTATGACACCAGGTCAATATGCCACTAATTTTAGAATTGCTTTTTTTTCTCCTTTTAAAAAAAAACCTATTTAGTCCAGAGACCTTGCTAAAACGTAGTGCAGATTAGCTGGGGAAAAAGGAAAGTATTGTCAAGTTAAAAATTAGTAAAAACTGAATGCAAAAATTGGACAGTGCATCAGTAGGACACTATTGAGTTGGGTCAATCTCAAGATTGGCCAGCTTGGCTGTTTTGGTGTCTAGTGAGAAACATTATGACCCTATAGGTCATGTGTCATGAAATTTTCATATCTTTATGCTCCCAAACAATGCTGCAGTGAGGGCACATTTTTCCCCCCTTTCAATCCGAGCTTTTTTTTTCCTTGCTCCTTTACAGAATCGATGTCCTTGCCCAGAATGTCAAGTGGCAAAAACTGTACAGACACATAGTAAGTGTTTCTATGTTCTTACCTACTTCCATCTTTTGGCTGTGAACCAGATGCTTTTGAGGAAGAATTCAAGCACATGTTGAGATTGTTTGTATCAGTTCTCAGTTGGTTGTGATTGTGAGACATTTGGATTCCTCTCTCATGACGTTGATAAGTATTATAGAATGCTTTGATGGAGTAGAAAGTTTGTAGTTTAAAGATCGTCCTCCTGTATACTGCAATGTTTCTTGACTCAGCTGATTCAGCACAATCTGTTTAATTAAATATATAACTGAATTATGTATAGACATATAGTAATCACAATCTCAAAGTGTACTGAAATGGTCTCTGAGCATGACAGTTTTATACTGGAAGTGTCATATTTAAAAACAATTCATTTAATTTTGAATACAATATATTCATTATAATTATTTAATGCAGACTGCAGACTGTTAACAGGTTCATTTCTATTTGAATTGCTAGGGAGCGGGGGGTTAACATTTAAGGTCTTCCGACAGTGGAATGGTAAATAATATGTCAGTTCATAATGAAAAGATAAGATTATGTACTTTTACAGAAGTTTTGACTCTTTGGAAGAAGCCACACATCAGTTCATTTGTGCAAGATTCTTTTTAAACCTTAGTTTGGGTGGATCGGATCATAATTATTGTCGATGTTGCATGTTTTGATGATGTATTAATGTTCCTTTTGTCCCCAGGACTACACATTTGAGCCCTCACGAGCTGAGCTACGAGGAGGGGGCAGGAAGCCATGGCCCCAAAAGGGAATGGGCAAAGCGAGGCATGGCAGCATCAGGTCTCCACTGTGGCGAGGAGGTGGGAGAAACTTTTTTACAAAACATAATTTTTCTGTACCTGCATGTGTCACTTCACTATAGAAAGGATCCACCACATGGCAAAGATAAGATTCACAACTTGTTATTTTCACATGTATTTTCTGAACCAAACAAAATAATACTGCATTATGTTATAGCTAGTATAAGGAATGCATTACATATTGATAAGACACCATCTTTATTGGCTTTTTAAGATGTCCTTCTTATTATTTTGTTTAGACTCGTTATTCATTTTCAACATTTGAATCTGTTTTGGCAGGTGCCACTGCTCTTGGGCCGAGAGGTCCTACAAACTATTTCTACATGTTGCCGAAACACTACAGGGCACTGGGTCTCCGAGTTGCTCTCACTTGTAAATATGCACAGGTAACTGGTCATATTATTGATTCATTCAAATGTCAGCTGAAGTCATTTCTGTTTTTAAATGAATAGGATGAATATATGGAGTGATTTTCTTTTAGTCAGAACACAACGTTTTATGTTACTGTTGCACGTTGTACTGTATTGTAAAGCGCTCAGAGCCTGTGCACTTTAATCGGGGTTGAGCGCTATATTTAATGTCATTTATTGTTGTTACAGTGGGTGTCGCATTCAACGAGGTTGCCGGGACCGGCTTGTTGTCCTCGTTGGATCCGACCTCTCGTTGAACATGACTAAGGCTCAAGAAAAGAGACAAGTTATTATATTGTTTTACACGATGTACCAATACCAGTAATTAAAACAGTTTTTCCCCCTTAGGATGAAAATCTTAAACAGCATCAGTGTGCACATGTTTGAGCTGTGTTCTAACCGTCATTTCTGCACTTTTAAATTAGGTAGCGTAAACACGGCCTCGGGGCACTCGCGGCCTTCCGACCGCGTGGTATCGGTAAAATCGGGTTAATTCCGATCGCTGTTTCTTTGCTCTTTCGCTATAAAACACCAAATGCCGTACACCTTGTAAAAGTTCAGCTTTTCCTCGTTACAATGGTGTAAGTTGTTTATATGTCCGATTAGTAGGAGCTGGAGAATCGCCGGCGAAAGCGAAGCCCCTCGCGGTCAGAATGCAAGGTCGGCTGGTTGAAAAATTGACACGCGTGCATTCAAATGCTTCGCGGAACGAGGGATGATTAAATACCGTCTTTTCATTGGCGGAGAACTGTAGAGCTTTAAACAGGCTTTCCCGTGATATAAGTTTTGTCTTTGGCGTCTTTATAGAAAGCTTTTAAAAATACCGTCAAAATGTTTAAAGATCACTTTTTAATTTTACACAAAATATGTAAAATACCGGCTTATAAAAAATATTAAATAAAAGATCAGTTCATTTCCTATTATAATAAAGTAATTAAATTGGAATTATTTTACATCAATCCTTCCGCGAGAATCAGAAAGCATGTGACCCCGCACGCGGGGTACACTACAGTAAAGAGCCGACTCACTCGCCGCGGGGGCCGGTGCGACGCCGGCCGGGTCAACGCTCGGTGTTTTTGTCGAAATAACGACAGATATCGTGTTTGAGGTGATAAAGTACTGATTTGTAAAGATCTCACAGTCTTGAAAAAAATTATGCTCCATATATTTGTTATAGTGATTGTACTCTGTTAATGTGGAGATGTTTAGTGGACTTGTTACTTTTTTATTGTCTGTCAAACATAGGGTTGCAGCCAGTGACTGACTTTAACAAATTTGATCAAATTTTAAACAACTACAATTTTCTTAAAAATTGACGGAGATGTTAAAGAATGGTACCAAAATGCTCAGTGGATATAGGCCTTTCAAATGGAACAGATAAATTTGGCATACAGCTAGTTTGAAAATTTAGTTTCTGGTACCTATTTAAATATGTTTTTTCCCGCAACACTTCTCGTGTGGAAACATACCCTCTCACATCTAGGCCTAGATCTACTTAAAGTAAAGGTGGAAGCTTGGATTTTCTGATCAGGGAAAGAAAAGAAAATTGAACAAAATGAAGGTCTCGATCTAGACCTACCCATCCAGAGTTCATCCAGTTTCACACAGCCCGCATTGCGTTCCCACCCACCCCCTCCCATCCCTACCGTAGGATAACCCTCGCCCATCCTCATGGCTTTGGCGCCCATATTAGGAAGCACACTAGATCTAGCAATACAATGTGTTGGGAATCGAGGATGGGCCTCGTGCTTTGCGTGAGATGGAGAGAAAGGAGAAAAATTCTTCGCTTTTGGGGCCGCTAATTGCTTTTATTTGGTTATAGCAACCTCGTTGAAATTCTTAGGATACTCCTCATACATCTCTTGATGAAAGTCCGGACTTCCTTCAGTACTGTCTTTGTTGTCTTCCAAGTTTCGCAGCCGTAGAGGAGCAGAGACTTGACATTGGAGTTGAAGAGTCGATTCTTGGTTTGCAGTGAGATGTTGCTTGCTTTCCAGACTTTTGATAATTGATTGAATGCTGACCTTACCTTGACGGTTCTTGCTTTAACATATGCTTCGGTTCCACCTTTACCATCGATGACACTTCCTAGGTAGGTAAAGGAGTCCACTTCTTCCAGGGGAGTGACTTCCACTGTCACAGCAGGGCTTGAAACTTTTCCTAGCTTCACTTCTTTCGACTTGCCCGTATGTATTCGTAGGCCGACACTCCTTGATAGGCTGTTGAGTTCTTTGGTCTTTTCTTGCATCTGAGCATGTGTGTGAGAAAGCAGCGCAAGGTCATCGGCGAAGTCCAAGTCATCCAGCTGCTGCCAAGGGATCCACTGTATTCCATTACGCTTGCCTATGGTGGCTTCTTTCATGACCCAGTCAATTGCCAGTATGAAGAGAAAAGGTGAGAGCGAGATTCCTTCTCGCACTCCTGTCTGTACCTGGAATGGTTCTGAGAGTTGACCTTCATGAAAGACTTGGCAGTTTTTTCCATCATAGGTGACCTTCACAAGCTTGACAATTTTTTCAGGTATTCAATAATGCCACTTGAGTTCCCACAGAATTTCCCTGTCCATGCTGTCAAATGCTAGCTTGATTCTCTCCAGGAGTATCCTGTTAAAGACTTTCCCAGGTGTGGACAGGAGTGTTATGCCTCTGCAGTTGTTACAATTGCTGAGGTCTTCATTCTTTGGCAGCTTGATTAGGTGGCCTTCCTTCCAGTCTGATGGTATTTCCTCTTCTTGCCAAACCTTTTCGGAGAGAGCATAGAGAATTCCACTACTGTATCTTTGTCTGCCTTAAGGGCTTCTGGTAGTATATGGTCGGGACCAGCTGCCTTGTGGGACTTCAGTGATGTTATAGTTGCAGCAATTTCCTCTCTTGAAGGTGGTTCTGTAACTATTGGGAGGTCATTTCTGGCTGGAAGAATTTCTAGTTGTTTTTTTGGAGGTGATCTGTTCAAGAGTTGATCAAAGTGTTCTCTCCATCAGTTAAGCTGCCCCTCTAGGTTGAAGATAGTCTTTCCCTCTTTGTCTTTCACTGGTAGAGTGGTCTTGCTGAACCTACCTGAAAGCGTTTTTGTTGTCTGGTGTACAATCCGCAAGTGCCCGTCTGTTGCTGCTTTCTCTGCCTATTCGGCCAGGCCATTCAGGTAGGTATTCTTGTCCTTCTTGATGGAATTCTTTACATCCCGGTTTACTTTGGTGTTCTCTTATTGTGCAGTGAGTTTCTCAGTTCTGGTACGGCTGTTGTTGACTTGGGCCTTCAGGTCTCTTCTTCTTTTGACTTTGTCTAGAGAGTCCTGTGAAATCCATTCATTCCTAGTGTTGACTTTGGGTCCTAGGGTGTTCTGGCAAGTTGCATTTACCGCCTCTTATATCTTGTCCCAGTGTTCATTTACTTCACATTCATCCAGATTTTGAAGGACTTGAAATCTGTTCTTCAGTTCCAACTTGAATTCATTCTTCTTTACTGGGTTTTACAGAAGGGGCACTTCATACTTTTGACGACTCCCAGTTGTGACTTGTGCATACCTTCTCAGTTTCAGTTTTATCTTTCCTAGGATCAAATGGTGGTCTGATTCGACGTCTGCTCCTTGTAAGACTTGGACGTCCTCCAGTGAGCGTCTAAACTTTCGGGAGATGCAAAAATGGTCAATCTGGTTTTCAATTGTTCCATCCGGGGAGACCCAAGTGGCCTTATGAATTCTTTTTAAAAGATTGTTCCTCCAATAACCAAGTTTTTGAATTTACAAAAGTTTTGGAATCTTTCTCCCTTGTCATTTGCCTCTCCCAATCCATGTCTGAAGTCTTTTATACTTGACCGATTAATTCAGATCCTGAAAACAAGTTTTGTGCTCCATTCTAGTGTCTTTAGGCCAATCCCAAAGGGGGGAACATTTCTCGTTCATGCACAGTAAAATTGTAAATGAGCTGATTCATCAATGCCACGCTAATAACTGTGCCTGATCTACAACAGAGAACTGCTGCTTTTTCTTTCCTAATCCTTACTATTGTCCTTTTTTCCTCTACTTCTTTTGTATGTTGGGCACACTCTTGTGACCCACTACTTCCGGGGTGCCTTGTTAGTCGAAGCAGACTTTGTGCTGTTGAAGCTAGAGAGGTGAGCAGAGTCAGTCTGATTCCCTGTAAGGACTTCTCTGTTGACATCCACCCCTTGGCATTCATATGACCTTATGCAGTTGCGAGCGCCATAAATCCTCTACTAAAACTAAAAACTAAAGCTTCTATTGTCAACATGGGTTATCTGCCTTGAAAGCATCTTTTTCTATTTGAAAGTAAAAGATCAAAACGGAATTCCACATCCTTGCCATCCTAAGAAAAACGAGTAACTCCATTTGACCTTGCTTTACAGGGTACGTTAAAATCATTAAAGTTACTTACTTTTTGTGGACAGTGACAGTGTAATGATATATAATGTAGGCCATACCAGATATGGCTGTCACATAGTACTCAATGACACGGAGAAAACTGATTTACTGATGGTTGCATTTTCTTAAAAGAAATTTGCAAACACTGAATTGCCTATATATTTAAAAAAAGGTGGGGGGGTGGGGGGGGGGAGAGATTTCAGTCGATTTTCTAGTTTTACAATCAATTAAGCTATTTAGAGTGATTTTCTTTTATGTTCTGTCGATTTATGATGCTGATGTTTTGAGGGAGGAGAGGAGTGGCTAAGATTCACCACATAGAATATCTCTGCCATATTTTTCTTTTAACCCTTTATACAAGCAATTATTTGTTATTACTTCAGAATGATCTTGTGATTGTGGATTCCCTCGATATCCCCACGTCTGATCCTGAGGTGAGCAGTATCTCTTTTTTTTGCTTGGTAGTGATTTTTATTGATTTATTCAATCTTGAGATAATATTGGAAAGCCTTATATGCTATTGATAAATTTATGAAATAACTTGAGATTAATGGTTTTTTTTGTTAATGTAATTTTTAGTACATGCTTTTAAAATCTTTTTGAAGTAATGATTATTGTTACTTTTTTAAGAAAAAAAGATATGTTCCTAAAATAGATGATCTAAGTGTATTTTTGTTTCCTCAGTTTTGCAGTTTATTATTAGAGAGACTAAGTAAAATGCTACCCTATAAACGCTCACTTTGTTGCACTATTATTAAAAGAAGTAGGCTCTTTTGAAGTAGGCTTACAAATTTAAAAAGACTAAAAAATTTTGTTTGAAAAAATAGTCGAAACTGCCTTAACGGAAACTTGTGTAAAATGAAAACCTATCTTAACAGAATCTCCCCGCTCCCCCCTTTATATATTCCTCTTTAATTACCTGTATAAAACGGAAACCTGTCCAACACGGAAACGGAAAGAAAAATCCACTCCCTTCCGAGGGTTTTGCCTGTCTAAGAAGGAAAATACTTTGCCTGCTCAGCCCTAATTTGAAACAGAACTCGCAAGTTTGGTTCTGTCGGCTCTGTCTAAATTTAACACCATGCAACCAGGCGAGGAAGGGTAGTAGGGGTGAAATTTGGGTGTAGATGTTACCCCATCTATGTGAGCCCTGAGCGATGCAGATGGTCAGGGTAGTGTGGGTGTGAAGTCTCATTTCACGAGTGCGAGTAGCAAACCACCACGGAAACTTTCCTGGGGAGCCAGAATCCAGATAGGTGTGAAATTAGTTTGACCAATGCCTACCGCCCTGATCATACGGTCAGCAGAGAAAAGAGTTCCTCAAATCATTGTTACATGGCAATGAGGGGTGGCATTGGTTGACGGTGCTTGTTACACCGGTGGATGGGGCTAAGGGTGGAAGCAAAGGAGATGTTCATATGTTCCTGTTTTTAATAGGTCAAACAGTGGTCCTATGAAATGCAAGCGCTGGTGGTAATTGGATAAGTAAGACTGACATGTGTCATTATCAGAGGGTATAGCAGGTGAGACGTGTGAAGTTTTGACCACTGCTTGCCAACAGGACAATCAACCCTTGATCCCACCAGCTGGGCCTTTGAAACCCCCCTCCATCTGCCCTAATTTCCCCTAAGACGGAAAATGTCTAAGATGGAATTCTTTTCTGGCTCCCTTGCGATTCCGTCTTACACAGGTTCGATTGTATATTATGGTGACAAAGGTACGTCTTTTCTTCTGGTATCATATCTATGTAACCTGACACTCAAAGCATAAAAATGCTGCTCACATATTTTTCCTGCTTTATATGAGAAATAATTTTTTGCTTTTTGTTTGACAGTTCTTGACAGATTTGGCAGATGTCAGATTCTGGGGTTACTCTGTGCTTTTTGTGGATGAGTATGTATTAAATAGAAAATCTTTGTTCTATCATCTGATTTAAATGGTAAAGGGTCACAATTGTCTGTTAAATATAGTACATACATGAAAGTTCACCTGACAATTCATGTATCATAAATTAAATGCATTATTGCTTCCTGCCTTTTGGTTTATTTCAGACAGTAAACCGATGGTGATCGTTAACTGCTTTAAAGAAGTGGGGGGGGGGGGTGTAAAGTTCTCTTGAAATATGAAATTGCACTGTTTAACTTATCTGACTCTTGATTTGCGTTAATTAAATATTAAACCTTGACTATGGAGGGAAAGGGGAGGGGAGAGTGTTCATTTGTGACTATGTGTGTGTGTGTGTGTGTGTGTGTTTGTTTATTGCCATACTTTATACATGATCCCAAGAAGTTTCTTTCTTTACTACTTTTCTATTATCATCTCTTGTGTATCATGACAATTTTCGTCTTTGCTCCATGTCTCTTTGGACAGAAAGAAGAGGAGTTATACTTTTGATGAAACACACTGCTTATTTGAAAATGAATTATTAGTTTCTTAGAGAACAGTATATGCATAGTTTGCCATATTAAGATTACCCCCCTCCCTCCCTTGAATTTTCCTAGTACTAGTATACATGATTCCTTGCAAGAGATAATAATTTTGCAACATATGTGTCTGTCCATGCGCTACATTGTGTCCTCTGGAAAAATATCTCTGAATTGGGAACGGGAAAATCAGGTCACATCATACAGATTGAGGGTTTTGTGTACCAGCTGTAATTGTTGTTCTTGATTTGCATACACCAAATTATGTATAGGCTGTAGTCTAAATAAAACATTTAAAATACATTGGAGTGTAATAAAAAAAATTGTGAAAAGTTATAACCCCCATTCAACATAACTGTTAACCCTTCAAGAGGTGAATTAATTTGCTGTGTCTGGTCCCCTAGAGGCGAATTAATTTGAGAACTTCATGAAAATTATGAAAAATGCTTTTAACTTTCTTAATTTTAACATTAGAAATATGAGTCAAACATCATTGAACTGGAAATTGAGTGAAGAAAAAACATGAGTTAAAAGTTTTCAAAACAATTTCTTGTCATAGATTTAATTTGTTTGTTTGTCAGAGTGTCTTTGCCTCTGTGTTAGCCCTGATGTTGTGGTATCAAATTTTTCCTAGTCCTAGTGTGAGTGATACAGTTCAAAGCAGCCAGGGACACAGAGGGCTATATACCAGACCTCACACATTTTATACTGAAATGGAGTCTCTTTCCTCTTGAATCCCTACTATCCTGATAAAATGCGTTGAACAGGTTGCAAACATTCACATTTGCAGCCATTTCAGATTCGATTACTGCCTTAGAGACTGATGTAAACAAATTCCTAGACTGTTCATTTTCTTTTCCAATTCTGAGTCAAAATTCTTGTTTGGGGTGGGAAATGCTAGGAAAACCATTTCCGGTGGTTCCGTACACAAAATTGGTCTCAAGTACGCGTGTTCACGATCGCAAGATATCCTCTGGGAGACAGTCGTGACATCGCGACTTTGCGATGTGTTAAAATAGTTTGCAAATTTGATAAAAAAACATCACAACGATGCTTTCTACTTATGCTTACTTTTAGTGAACTCTTTTGCTGATACTTTTGTTACTTTTCAATTTCAGCACCGACTTCATGCCTGAGAACACTGCCCTGGCTACCAGTCAGATCACTGGCTTCAACCTTATGCCTGCTTATGGTAAGCTACTTGTCTACTGAAACTCATGAGATCCTTTCCCTGCAATGTTTTCTTTACCTGTCATTTGTTCGTTTTATTAGGCTGAATGGATCTTGGCTGAAATCCAAGGAATTATTTATTTGCTGTATGGGACAGAAGTTTGAAGAGAATGCTAGAAAGCTCCCCTTTTGAGTTTAGAAAGTGAAGCTGACGACATAGAAGCAGAAAATCTTTTTTTTTTTTTTTCATTTTTATGATGTCGTAGAATGATATTATAAATTGGAGCCGTTACACATTTGGTCAATTTAAATTTTGTACTCTCACTATGCCCCTGTGGTGAGGTCTTTAACTCACTGAGCATCACGCCCCGATTTGCCTCCAAGCCCCAGGGGACCACCCATTTCCCCCACTTTTTGAACATTCATAAAAAATTGAAATGAAATGCTATTTCTTTGAAATTTTTTGTGCTATTTAATAAGATATGGGTTCAACAGACACAATAAACACATTTTGTGAAGAATGAAAGACCAAAAATGTATGGGACAGAAAATTGGGATAAATTTGCCCCAGAAAAAAAAAATTGAAAAAAAAAAGGTAGTGATGTGACAAAGCAGAAATCTAATAAAGTTACACAAAATGGTTGTGGCAGTGTGTGTTTGAGTGTAGGAGAATGAAGCATGAGTGTGTACAGTGAAGTAGCATAAAAATGTAAGTGATAATTAATTTTGAAAAAGAAAAAAAATATAGATCTAGAATCTAGATCTTTCTTGGTGACAGGCTGAAAAGTATTTTCATTGTCAGTGCTGCTAGTGCTAGGAATAGATCTGTCAATATATTATTATGTCCCAGGTCTCGGTACATTATATATCTTCTCCACTTTGAGGGCTGATTTGAACTAGAGTTTAATACTGAAGCTAGATTTATCATTCATCATCCCCAGCCGGATCAGTCAGATTCACGGTCGAGAGACGATGTTGGTCTAGACCTAGATCTAGGTCTAATGTAATTTTCTCAGTCATCTTCATCACTGCGTGGCGAATTCATATATTGATTTATGAAGTTATCTATCTGATACTTCACTGTCACTTAAAATCTTCACCAAAATTATGGAGAGTTTCAATAAACTTCTACACAACTCGCCGTGCCATGCTTCGCGTACGAGAAACAACAACAAACTTACTTTCTGTTGTTCAGTCCGTTGGACAAATAAACATGTGGATAACTTGAGAACGACAGATGTGCGCCATTGGCCGATGTTTATAGTAACAGCCATCTTGTTCGACGTCATTGAGGGATTCCCACTTTGTTGTCGTTCATGGTGGCAACACGACCGCAAAGCACTATTGCATTATTTTTAAAGCCTGTAGCCTACAGTGGCATGGTGGCGGAGTGGTTAGTGCGCTTGACTCCAAAACAGAAAGTCCAGGTTTGAGCCTCGGTTCGGCCCCGGATTTTTTTTTTCGCCCCCTCCTGCCCACCCACCTGTGTAATGGGTACCTGACTTCGAGTTGGGAAAGTAACGGACTAATTTTAAAAAAAAAAAAAAAAATTTTCTAAAAAAATATATAAGATAACTAAAAAAGCATGTGATGTCGTGACTTTGATGGATTTAAAAAACATACAAAAAATTGGTCATTTTCCTACAATGGCCGCCATTACCATGGCAACCGCTAGATTCATCCACAAAATAGATTTTTTAAATCCATCAAAGTCACGACATCACATGCTTTTTCAGTTACCGTATCTTATATATTTTTTTGAAAAATAAATTTAAAAAATAGTCCTTTACTTCCCCGACTCGAAGTCAGGTACCAATTACAGGTGGGTGGGCAGGAGGGGGCGAAAGAAAAAAAATTAGTGGCCGAACCGAGGCTCGAACCTGGACTGTCTGCTTTGGAGTGAGGCAAGCGCACTAACCACTCCGCCACCACGCCACTGTAAGCTACAGGCTTTAAAAATACTGCAGTTGTTCTTTGCGGTCGTGTTGCCACCGTGAACGACAACAAAGTGGGAATCCCTCAATGACGTCAAACAAGATGGCTGTTACTTTAAATATCGGCCAATGGCGTACATCTGTTGTTTTCAAGTTATCCGCATGTGACGAATAACCCATTTATTCACACTAAAAGTGGTGAATTTACACAAACCACAAAGAACTAGCTTGTTGATATCTACCACTGGGGCTATTTGCAAGCATTTTTGAACTGCTAGGTTTACTTTATAGTCAATTATAGTTGAACCCGCGTACGCTGCGGTTGTGGTCCGCGGCGCGAATTTTACCGAACCGGGTATGCTGCGGGAGCGGTGCTCAGTGAGTTAAAGGACATCATACATTGCAGAAGCGTGCCCCTTGAAAGATCTGCTGTTGTATGTTCAGAGAAGCTTTTGGTACACATGTGTGGGATGAGGGAGGGTAGTGGGTATTAAGTAACAATTTGAAAAACTTAGTTGCCAAGTTTTTAAAAAATAATGTGAATATGGAAAAAACATTATGAGGAATGGAGCCTGAACGTTGTTCTGCTTTTATTCCTTTAACCCTTAGGTCTGAATGTGCACTCGATGCTGAAACATGAGACTTTGGTGCTGACGTTGGCAGCCTTGGACAAGATTGAGGGCAAACTGTTGGAGGAACTTCATTCTACTGAGAGGAACACCAAGTTTGTGAACACTTTGAAGCCGGAGGACTTCAGAAAAGAACCAAAGAAAGACTACACCATGTACAAAAAATTCACACAGCCCTTGGAATACAACAGAAACTTTTATGACCAAGCCACTTTTTATGAAGACTCGGAGGACCAACCAGAGAGTTGAATGCTTCTCTTCCATCCTTTTTAGTTGAGAACCATGGCAAGTGCAGATTTTGGTTGAGGACTGCATTTGATGTCAAATTGTACTCGTGTCAATTTTTATCACAAATAGATTTCACATAATTACTGACACTGCTTTGACTTTGTTTTTAAAATTTATTTTACTTTTCTCTGGGGAGATTTTATAAAGTAGATTTATAGAGAAGTATGGGTTATAAACACAATGGTGATTGGTCATTGTACGGTACGAGAAAGAGGTGATATGTCATTGTACGGTACGAGAAAGAGGTTGTTGTTGTTGTTGTTATCGATCCAGCAACAGCTGGGCTCTCGCCCTTGTCCAATGCCATGTAGTGATAAGTGCAGGTCTGCTGCAGTTGCTGTAATGTTTCATAGAGACGAGAAAGAGGTAGAATGACAGAGACAAGATAAGATAAATCTTTATTGTTCAGGTCCTGGACTACTAGAGACTCCTTCCCACCATTTGCTTCACAGTGGGAGAAGAGCAATTTTGTCATAATGATCAGTAATGCCTTAAAACCCCATTGACATAATTTGGATAATTTAGGAGTAGGAGGTGGGCTGCTTTAATCCTTCCTGTCAGTGTCGGGGTCAACCTGAGCTGAGTGGAATAGAGTCCTAGATACCCAATATAATAACTTTACCTGCATGAGAATTGAACTCATGATTCATGACTTCTTTACGTAACGGCGAAGGGCCTTGCCATAGAGCACCACAGAAGCCTATGCAATTGTATCAAAACAGGTGAGCTAGAAGACTTGTCAGCACATTTCAACACTTGACTGTGATTAAGTCGCTTGAGCGCAATGGCCTTCAGACTTCAATCACAACTCTCCGCTTCGAGAGTCAGCGAGAGTAATAAGTTGTGTTGAAAAACTCTCCGGGTGTCTGGCCATGACTAGTTTTCACTAGAGAGACAAATCAACTGCTTAACTAAGTGTAAGACTCCTCCATGTGCCATTTTAAGAGTCCTTATTTAATATGAGAGTTAGGAATACCTATCCACGAACAAGTAGACACTTTGATCTTGTTTGTTTATAATTTCTTTGAATCAGACACCTCTTGAAATAGATCATGACTGCAAACAAAAGTAGAGCCTGCCACCCACAAATATATTGCACACACAACAAAGACAAGACAAGAATCAGATATTTAAGTATGCAAATCTTTTTTAATGTGTAGGTCTTCAGTTTTGTTTACAGCAATAAATACATTGATATCCTCTGAGATGGACAGACATAAATAAATGTGAGATTAGTTGCCACATACAATGCACTAAAGATCCTGAGGAGGTTGCCAGTAAAAAATATCAAGAAATGACAAAATCATCGCTTAAAAAATTTCTGTTCTATAACTGTTTAAAAAAAACTAACCAAAATTTTAAGATCTTTTTTCTAACATAACTAATGTGATTGCAAAATTTTCCAAATTATTCTTCTCATGCAAACTGCAGAGGGATAAGATGGTTTAAAATTTATGCCATTTCTGTTTTTTATGTTACAAGCTAGTCCTATTCAAAGCAACTTGACCACAACCTACAGCCATAATTAAATCTATGTTAATGCAGTGCATCTAATACTGATAATTATGTCTCACAGGAAATACCAGAACAGTTTATATTGTAGCAGTGTGATCTCCAGACAGGACTCTTGCTATACATGCTTGTAATTACTTCTACATAACCACTGTACTAGGAAAAACTGCTTGATAAAAAGAAGTGCGAATAAATTCATACGGATAATGATAAATGCACCAAAATCTTCATTTAGATGAGCAAATCATGCGATGGAATATGTACATATAATTTATTTAGTTCAAATCATGTCAACGATAGTGAAAAATACAGCTAATTAAAAGAAGATAAAAACCTCCCATCTAGATAGATTGTTTGCAGCTAATGTTGTTCTCAAGTCTCGTGATAGAATCCATGAGGAGGCATTTCATATCGTTCTAGGCACTGTCGTACTTTCCATCTCAGGGCATTTCGAGGTTTTTCCGTGGGAACAACATATCTGTTGGGCACATACACTTTGTGGTCCACCTGGAAAAACATGATTTTGCTATGCTTGAGTATAAAGAAGCACATCAACACATCAGCCATTAGAACCATGACAGCACATTTGTTTGTGTGAAGGGTGACTGACTGGCACAACTGCGATACACAAAATATAAAGTTGTCTGGGACGCGTTGAAATACCACCAAATCTACATATTTCTTCTCTCCCTGGAGAACACAAAGCTTTCAAATAAATAATGAATATCACCACTACACTTACACACCATCTTTTCCTTTTTCTTGGAGCGCAGTGAAATCTGACAGATACCCCGAAAAATATATTAATATTATGAACTATTATCATAATGAAAACTGCACAGCTCAACCCCCACCCCCCAAAAGCCAAGTGTCTGCATCAATGGACTTTTGCGAAAAACTAATTTTTAGTGGGAGGGCTTGATTTTACTCATGGAAGAGGAAAAGAAAACAAATGAAAATGCCAAAAGATTTTCTTTGCTACGGATACTTGTTCGTTTGGACCACTTTCTTGGTCACTTGGGTTTCATTTCCACACGAGGCAAAACATTCTTTCAATCTTTCTCAGGGACAAAAAATAAAACAGCATCTGTTCTGTGGTGTAGTGGTTAGACCTTCGGTGTCACATGCACGAGCCTGAGTTTGATTCATGTTTTAGTAAGTGTTTTACGGCACTTGTAACACAATAATTAAAGGTCATATCAGTGCCGAAGACTAGAGGCATTACAAGAGAGTAACAAACACAAAATAGAAGGAGGGGAGATCAGGACGACAGATGTTTGATAGGAAAGAAAAAGCAAACCACACCAGAGCACCCACCAACTACCCACTTTGATTCATGAGCAGGAAGAATTTTTATACAGTGTCTCAATCTTTCTACTAGGATGTCGTTTCCCTCTCAGCCTGGGTTTAAAGCCCACCTCCTAAATGATCTAACTTGTGTTGATGGGGATATAAAAACACCTACATTTAAGAAAAAAACAGAAGAAGACAAAACAAATGTCTGGAGACATCACAGAAGACATTGCTAAAACACACAACATCATTCCTCTGTGCCACCAACCAAACTGTGCACAGCAAACCGCAATGATTGATTTGATGATTACAGTTTTTCCATCCTGTCAGCAAGTTAAAATTTTTAGAAGGCAGGCTGCTTTGATCCTGTCTCTTAGACGGATGGAAATACTCATTCCAATAATTTTCTCACATTGGAATCAAACTCATGTCTTTCGCGGGCAATGGGAAAGCGCCTTACCATTACACCATAGACGCTGACCTGTGCCCTCAATATCTGAGGGACATATTACTATACAAACAGATGAAAAAAGAGACAGCTCACACGCACAAAAAAAGAGACAGCTCACACACAAAAAAGGAGACAGCTCACACACACAAAAAAAGAGACAGCTCACACACACAAAAAAAGAGACAGCTCACACACACAAAAAAAGAGACAGCTCACACACACAAAAAAAGAGACAGCTCACACGCACAAAAAAGGAGACAGCTCACACACACAAAAAAGGAGACAGCTCACAACAAAATACACAGTTCCCAAAGGTACCTTGATCTCATCCTTCTCCAGCAACTTGGCGTGCACAGCTTTGTGTAGCTCAAACCGGTGTGCCTCCCCGGCTGCGGGTTGTGCCTTCCACAGTTTCTGGTACATTCGCAGCCTATCAAATGGCTTTTGACGCACCAAATTTCTGGTGTGAGGCGGTTCCATCTTTCTTATAACTAGGGATAACAAAAGGTAGACATTGAATCTTCGGAGTGACATCTCAATCATTCTTTAATGGCCAAAGTCAATTTTGGTATGCTCTAAGCCGAGAAGAGAGCGATAGTGCTATTATCACAGAGGGATGAGCTCATTAACAACAAGTGTAAATAGTTATTAAAACATAGCTTGTTTGTCAGGGTTCATCCATTATTTCATGCAAAAATGTTGCAGATGTACGGGACTGAGTAGACGAGAGAAGTGAGAGAAAGGGAGATACATAAAAATAGAAATGGAGCCAATGTATTCATGTATTATGGCTATTGATGAGCAAGTGTACTTTTTCATGTAATCTTAGCTGGAAAGCGCATTGAGCATTCACAGAGCAGAAAAGAGCTGTATAAATTTGCTCCGCCATTGAATCCCAGATTCACATTTTAACGTTTAACAAGAGCACTGGAATGTGCATACATTTCCTGACTGACTAACTTAACACAATGATCAGGTAGAGGTCATAAAAGGGACGTCTTTGAGTGAGCTAATTATTCTCTCACCATTGCCTTTGTATGAGCACTGAACAGCACAGTATTAAAATAAAAGCTTCTTGGAGTGAAAAGATCACAAGACCTACACAGAAATAAATGCAATGGCTATTAATCTCCAGCCACAAAAAGAATTCAAGAACAAAAGCCCACATTAGGTGCTAAGAAATTTAAATAAATTGGACCTGGAAATTCATAGTAATATTATTATTATGTGTCACAACGTGGTGGAATCAGGCGCTCGACAATTTTTGGACAATTTGAATTATTGGTATCATTATACACCTTGTTCATTTGTCTTGCTTTCAGTGAAAAAAGTACTAATCTATCATAAACAAAAGTCGAGATATTTGCGATTGAAGTAGGTGACGGTCACCTGGTTTCAGAGGTATAATTAGTGAGTAAATGGCCGCCAAAGTTTGGTGACTTCCAAAGTTTGAGGGTCCTTAGAAACTGCAAATTTACATTTTTGTGCCTTAATTTATCAACATTTCAGTAAAATCTACACAGAAATGTGTTCTTAAATATCAATAAAAATTGTCAAACGGACAGTAAAATGCCAGTTTCTTCGATTTCATTATTTGGACAATTGCCTGATTTCACCACGATCCCTCACATATGAATAATATTGTACAAACTACAGGAGAAATGGAATTTAGAAAGTTGAGGCACATTACCATGTTTATTACTTTTCTTCTGTTGTTAGATTCAGAGTATGTCAATGGTGTGTTCTTCAACTCACTTCAGAAAATATCTGTAGGGAATAATCAGCCATTTTTCCTACAAGACCGTGTTGCCAGTTGCTTTTCCAACCACATTTATTTCAACAAGCACATTGACTACAGCTAAAAACAATATACCATATGTGCAGAAAAGTAAGGATTAGCCAGTCCCAGTAATCCCCAAAGCAACATGGCCACTGAACTTGAAAAATGTCAAATACAAGTTCATTTAGAGCAGTGACATAGTACAAAAGGTGCACTTAAAGAACAGAAAAACTGTGGCAACATAGAGGCACTTCAGCATTCGTGAGGAAGTCTGGCATCACGATTACAAAAATAAAGAAGAAGCACTACTAAAAGACTTTTAATTGCCTCATGACTTTCTCAACTGCAGGTTTGACTATGAAGGTCATAATAGACCACCATCATTTAGCTGAAGCCTTGTCTTCATTTCTGAAGAAAAAGTTAGCCAGAACCGGCGTCAGCAGTCAGTCTTGTCCTTTGCCGGTAACTAAACCCAAAAAAGAATGAAATCACCATAAGGTTGTCAAATATGCAGGAAGTTGAACAAATGCCACTGTTGATGAAAAAATGTAAACAGGAAAGGCTACGAGACCATTTCTATTCATCATTCACCTCTCACTGAAAGTATATATATAATAACTAATCAAGAATACCAGCACCCTCCTAACACTGACCATAGAAATCTGAGCTTGAAACCAGTAAGGGTAAAATCATAAGAACATTCAGCTTTCAAAGAATTACTTACATGATGGGTATGCATTTTTCTTCCCTTTAAGACGGTATGGGGGCTGCAAGAGGGAAAAAACATGGCAATGAGTTTTCTATTCATCATTTGTGTGTGTGCCAGGTGAAAGGTACCAAATGACGCATTTTGAAGAATCCTGTTTTTTTGCATTTTCATGTACAGGGATCATTTCTGAACAATATGCTTTTTGAATTTTTAAAGTATCTTCAGTAGTTTTTCAGATAGGAGAGATTTTGTAAGGCAGGGTACGGAAACAAAGTTTTGAGAGAAACGACTTTAAAGTTTCCCCTTTGTTTCTGCTTCAAATAGACAGAGCTACGCTTTGAGACGACCTGACAACACATTCGCTACTCACAAACCAAATTTAAAAAGCAGTTAAGATAAAGAACAGCTCCAAAATGTTTATATTACGTCTTCAAAACAAATTCACTACCACCTTGAGCAAGAATTTTCAAGAAATTAGATCTAGGTTTGCGCAGGGCAGAAATATGCGATACAAGTTTGCTCTCCAAAAAAAATGAAAGGGTGTGGATTCGCAAAGTTTTGCTTCGTTTACATGTTCTAGATATTCATGTGCTCTACTCGCCATTAGAGAGGGGAGAGAATGACCTTAGTTTTGGTATGCATAGTGATTGAGTCAACTTTATGAATGGACAAGAGAAACCATATGCAGTGTGTACTCGGAAAACCAATTTTCTCACACACTGTTTTGGGATTATGCAATATACCTCATGTTAAAAAACATCTTTAAAAATGTATTTTAAAGTAAGAGAAACTCAATTTCCTGTAAATATTAATGGCTGAAGAATCCATTTTTAATGGAACTTAGTTTTTGTAAAAAAACTCTATTTTTGACCTTTGAAGCCAGATATTTCGGTTCAAACAAATGCGTCTTTTGGTACCTTTCACCAGGCAAGCTCACATTTTTTCCACCAGCACAAATTATTACAACCTTGCTATCAACCCACAATTATATCTGATTCATAAACATGTATTGTGACATCAGTTAGCCTAAATGCCCTCCTTCACATTTCACAAAATATAAAACTTCAAATGGGGAGAAGTATTCTCCATCGCGTAAGACTAATTACATTCTAAAAATTAGGTGGGAATAGATTTGTATTTCATAAAGTAATCATATCAAATTTAGCAATTCCCATACAAGAACCATTCTGCATGTAGAACTTTGTGTTACTGGGCAGTAGCAATTTGAAACAGGCATAACAAAATCTGACTAAACCTCCAAAATGTTTTGTTAAGAAAATCATCAAAATTATGTACACTGTAGGCCCATTTTTAACGTTATTAATATCAACAACATTATGTCTTTTCAGTAAATCCTATAACATGAGATCTCATTGGTTAAATAGGTGCACTAATTTTTATAACTAAAACATAGACACATTATACCTCTACATCTGCCGTTGTTGGCCGAGATTTACCACACTCGCAGTCCCTCATGGCCATGCTTTTGATTCTTTCATAAATCTCAAAGATGCCATCTGAAAGTTCAAGACACATTAATGACAACAGGATAGGATAAACTGTAGTGTTGCTAGCAATATATATACGCATCGTTACATGAACGCAGACTTTCAATTAGTTTCATCCCCTTACACTTTACTAAAATGCTCTACAAACTGGCACATTACAAAGGCATCAAAATGATTTATGCCTTACATCAACTAATAATAAGTTGGGTGAAGTAAAGTCTTCACATCCAGGATTAAGTATGATCACGTTCAAATATAGATGTTTTGGTTATTTCATTCTGCCCTATTTAGTGTAAGAGCAAAAATAAATTTCTATGCCCTGGAAATGGTTATATTGACAGTACACTGAGTACACACCTTAAAAAATTTACCCTCCCTCCAAATTGCTTTTTATTGAGTAAGACTCAAAAGCAATACAAACTATTTTTAACCTGTTTCCACAAAAAATAGAACAGTCATTACATTTTTCAGTGAGCAATGAAAACATTTCAATATTCACCTGTTTCGCTATCACAAAAAGATTCATCAATTCTCCTGCAACCATCCTCCATCTTTCTGAAATAATAATAGACAATGTTGAGTGACATTAAATTCTTCTGGAATCATCAGTGAATTCTCTAATTGTGCATAATTGCTCCATTTGTCACAAAAGGGGCTACCCAATTGTGTAAAGAAAGACTACAAAGCTTTGCCTAACAGAGATGATACCTATGACATATAATATGCAATCTAAAAATTCAAAGCATTAGAGTGAAGCTGAACCAAGATGCATCTTTCAGAAAACTACATCTTGAGAGAAATTAATAGACATAACCCCCTCCACCCCCCCCCCCAACAACAACAACTAGAAAGACAGGCGAAACACTATCTTGAACTGTAGGCCCCTTCTCAAGAGCAACAATGTTAACATATGATACTTGGCTTCAAAAGCTAAATTTTGTGTCAAAACCAGCATGAGAAACACACCTGCATGTTTTCCTTTTAATCATCTTGGAACCACTGTCATCCTCAAATCCATCCCTCATGCTGTTACTTTGGTTATCATTGTTTTTTCCGTTTTCCACATCCAAGGGCAATTCATAATTGGCATAAGATCCAGGAACACCGTTTCTGCGCATCTCAGATGCTGACCTTGTGGCAGTTGCACTTTTACACGCTCTGTCATGGTGATCCACTCCTGAATAATCCTGAAAGGTAATCACAACATGCTTACAATGGTCTCAACAGCAGAATCAAACGTAATCTGTGCCTTCATGAGAAATGTAAATTCTCCAAACAGTTGTCATAGAAGAACCAAACAGTTTTTATGGAAGAATCAAACACTTGTCACTAAAGAATAAAAGAGAAGTCACGAGACCTTTAGGTCATTTTCCTTTCTAAGCAGGATGTTCCAATTTCGGTTGAATTTACAACAATGTATCATTGACTACAGAGAGGACCTGCCACAAGAAATATTTACACTTTTGCATTGATTAATAATAATAGATCATCAACTTCATATAGCAGTTTAACAGATCATTTTCCTTTTTAGAAATTGAATTCATTCTATAGCTGTGGTTATACAGATTTAAATGGAGCTTGGAACAAAAACACAATTATCGTTTTGCACTTCCATATCAACTCTTCATTGCTAGGGGGTGTGCATGACTACTGTCAGCACTGATTTTCAGTTTAGCTCTTTAGCTACATTCATGTCTCAGTGTTAGTGGACTTGCGGTCTACATCTGCCCCCTCCTAACATATTTCAAACCTCGGGTCTTCGATCATGTCACTTTCTTCACTTTCCTCACTCCCTATATCCCCTCTCTTACTCAAAAAAATTGCAAATCAAAGTCAAAAGGTGAAATTGTCTGCTTTTCAAAAGTCATTTTGATGTTCACGTTTTGCGAGAGAACCTGGTTGTCCACAAGACAATCCCTGTGTTTAATGATCGTTTGCAAGCCGAGTAGAAAACTAATACTAGCAATTTTGGTACCAATATGCCCATTTTTTATTCCCTTATACGAATCCGCGCAGAGCTTGTGGCTAAATTTCTGTACAGAAGAATTGGAGCCAGGTAATTAACTTGATGTGCATGTAACATCATTTAGGCAATAAGGAGTGGTACATTTTGTCAACTTCTGTTCTGTTCATGGTATGGCACAAAGCTGAAAATTACTAATTTTCTTGTGACATAACCAGGTACGAGGTCTGTCTCAGAATCAAATTTCCCTGTCATGCTGTCCTCACATATAATCATAAATCACCTTGTATCTGGTATCAACAGAAAGCTTATTCAAATATCCATTCAACGTAGCAACCACCAAGTTCAAGACATTTCTCCATTTGATGTACCCAGCAGTCAAAGACAGTGGTCAGTGATCGTTTGTCCAAGGTCACGAGTGCTTTTCTCACAGCCTCTTGAATCAGGTCCTCATCCTCAAATCGCCGACCTCGCAGCATTTCTTTCACCTTGGGGAAGAGATGGAAGCTGCAAGGGGTGAGGTCAGGCGAATAGGGCGGATGTTCCAATAATTCCCAATAGTAGCCCTTAAAAAGCTCGTTCACAACTCTGGACTTGTGAACAGGCACGTTGTCATGATGCAGGATGACGCCTTCTTCAAGCAAAGCGGGTCTTTTTGTCTGGATTGCAGGTCTCAGCTTGTCTTTGAAGACGAATCTGTAGTAGTCACCGTTGACAGTTACGCCAGGTGTGACCAGCCAGCTCAGTATGATGCCACTTATGTCGAACAAAACCCAATGTGCATTACCTTTCTCTGCCCGTGTTTTCTGTGTGCACTTCAACTTTCATGTCAGACCTCCCACCTTCAACCTCCCCGATCCATTTCCTTACTGTTTGAATTGATGGAAAATTATTCCTTATTACATGGGTTTCAGCTGCAGACTTGCCAAGAAGAGTTGAAAATTTGGTCACAACTTGGACATCATAGCATGAGAAGGTTGAAACCAATGTTTTGCTCAGCCATTTTCCTGGAATTTGCCTTGGACAAAGTGCACAAGAACACCACACTTGACACGTCACAGCTCTATGACCCGTTCACCACTGCACTTGCAATTTGGCTTTGAGATTTCTTTGATATGATGTCATGATGTCACAAAATTTAGTGGCTGTTGGTTGCGTACTGTTGATTTTATGGGGGAGGGAAACTTTATTCTGAGACAGACCTCGTATGTTATGAGGCAACAGAGGGGTTTAAAAAACACATCCTTACAATCATACACAATAAAACATTTTTGAGAACCATTAAAACTGGACAGCAAAATACACTGCGGTTTTAAGACCACATGGGGAGATTTTAGCCAATAAAAACACCCCAGGGAAAAGTGACCTGTTCGGTGAGAACAGTTGTAGGACTTACATATTTTTTAGAAGTTGTGGTTTTATCTCCTCCTCGATACTGCCAATCTTCTCTAAATTCCTGTGTAGCAAAAAAATAAAAATATAAATGAAAGTACAGAGTAAAATAGAAAACTGCAACAATCAACTTTCAGGGTGTCCAGCAATATTTCCTGAAAAAATTTACTACCTGGAAAAAAAATTTACTACCCAGCAAATCAAACCCCACACCAGCTCGAAAAAGGGAGTTAAATTGCGCCATCAATAACATATACATTATTATTACATAACATATGGAACTAAAAGAACACACAACAAAGTCCAGTCGACAAAATGGAGGATAGACAGACAATCGCAAGCTTGCCTGCAGCTAGATTTAGTTTTAGTAAGGTTTTTACGGCGCTCGCAACTGCATATAGGTGATATGAGCGACAAGGGGTGGATGTCAACAGAGAAGTCCAAACAGGGAATCAAGCTTCGACTATCAAGGCACTCTGGAAATTGTAGTTCACAGGCGTGAAAAACATACAAAAGAAGTAGAGGAAAATGACGATAGTAAAGAAGAGGACAGAAAAGGCAGCAGTTCCCCCTACGCTGGTCCAGCACAGTATGAGCATGACATTGATAAATCAGCCCATTTACAATTCTACTGTGCATAAGAACATGTTAATATCCTCCCTTTGGGAATGGCCTAAAGACGTTTCAGTCAGTAGCACTGCCCTGGTGGAGGTGGGAGGGGGAGGGGGGTAGATTTATACCTAATGTGTACACACAGGGTGACTGCCAAACCGGCTTCTCCATTTTCCAGGGCTATGTTACACAACAACAACGGGCACACACACACACACACACACACACACACACACACACACGTACACACACACACACGTAATGACTCGAGTAAACCTATTCAGTGTGAGAGGTGTAAGAACTGTGAGAGGGCAAGAGGCAGTGACACTGAAAATCTGCCAGTCACCCAACAAATGAAACGCGAACACTTTCTTTCAATAACATAGCTTACAAGGTATGAAGGATCCCGATTCCACACAAGGCCTGCACCAACGCGCGCTTTGCAGAGAGCTCTAAATCTAATCAAAATTCTGAAATTTGCTTACAGTTTTTGTCCTCTGGTGTTGCCTTCATCCGCTCCCCCCATCTCCAGAGTGTCTCTTAAAAAAATCAATAATCCCTGCCCTACTCCGTAGTCCTATACTTCGCAACGCTCAACGTTTTAATGAACTTTGGCGACCCCAACAAACGCCGGTGCTCACCGACGCCGTACCTTGTAGTGCCTCGCGCGAAGGTTCACTGACCTGTCCCGCTGGCGAACCCGACAACCTAAAAATCGGACAAAGCTTGTATTTTCTTTTCACCCCCTCCCCCACCCCACCCCTACAAGTGACAGCACGGTGAAGAGTCCGAGTAATTATTAATTTTATTTGCACAGCGACAAAGCGGGTATACTGCACAACCTGTACAAATGTTGCGTTATCAGTTTATCTACGCCAAATTTCAGGGTGGTAACGAAAGCGAAAGTAGATCTTGATTTTCCCGATCGAGCCTCGTGTTCCACCTGCCGCCATAGCCGCTTTTGTGTGAAACGTACTCTCGGACGGGGAAAAGGTGATCGAATAATTATATCACAATCGCGACCGGCAAAAACGGAGTCATGTGGCTAGGGTTCACTGAAAAGTCTTCCTGGCTTCATCATTCAGTATGCAGGCTAATTTACGACCGTTTACCAAATTTTTACTACCTTCAAGGCAAATTTACTACCATTTACGACCTTTACGACCAGGGCGCCGAATTTACGACTTTTTTACGACTTTACGACTTTGCTGGTCACCCTGAACTTTTCCTCACTTAAAAATTTCACATGAAAGTATTGAAAGTAAAATCATAGACTGCATTGTTTATTCCAGTTAAAGACGGCGCAGATGTTTGCATATATTTTCATTTTTTTAAACACGACAGCACAACAATAAAAATTCCTCGAAAAAATAATATTGAAAATACACAGAAATAGTAACTTAAAAGAACTGAGTAAAATGGGGAAACTCACTAAAGTGCCTGTTACACCATCTCCTTTATAGCACCAATCATCTTTGTCATCCTGTAATAAAAATATGAATAACTAGCTGGGCCCCCTTTCGATGAAAGGAATGATCGGTGCATTAACATAAACTGAAAGTCATTGGCCTACTAAACTTAAACTTTACTGGAATGGAGCAATAAATATTGAGATGCAAAACATTAGAAGATCTAGATCTATACTCTGTGGTTGTACATTCCAGAATTTCAGAAGTGTGGAGTCAGTGCGCATGGCTAGTGAACAGAAACCTCGCTTGTTTACAATGGCGTCTTAGAAGACGGACTTTCCCAAGATTAGATCTAAACGAAACTAATGAAAAACTGAAAATTAAATTACAGGGACTTCAGGCACCTCAATAAAACTGTGCACCCTTTAAATGATTCTGAACCACCATTAATTTTGTCAAATTAAAAAATTAAGTGATTTGGAAGTTTTAGGCGGGCAAAGTGATGAACTTTCATAAATATAATATAGAGATAACCATGTGTACTATTCCAAGGCATTTTAAACAAAATTAAAATTTAAGACAGGCCCAGTAAGCGTTAATGTCAATAAATCTTATAATGAGAAAAATCAACAGAATGATAGTCGGTAATAACATACAATTTCATACTACAGTCGGGCATAGACAACACGAATCTGGAAAAATCAAAATCAGGGAGAGCCTGTACAATTTGCCATCCCCTGGCTGAACTGCTATATTTTCTTCGAATTGGCAAAACTATTATCTCAAACACCCATACAGATATTATGACAAACAGCTGAATGATTCACTGAACAAGACGCACTGTTGCCACATTGTCTGTTGTGTTGTGTCTGTTAGTTGTAAAGCACTATAACTTCCTTGAATCTAGTCATGTGAGGGTGGGTGATGGGGTGGTGGGATGTAATAGAAGACATACAGTGCGATGCTGCATTGGGCCATATGGTGTGTGAATTATATTTGTGTTTGTGTGCAAGTGTGGTTGGTTGAATGTGAAGGTATGGAATCAGGAAGTGATTACTAGGGCTGGGATTATACGGGTAATTTGATGGGGTAATACCCGGGTAATGAAAAAAATACCCAAGTACCTGACATTCCAATTATCGTATGGTGCTTCTGTACTGCTCTGCTGGCTTGCGATTTCATTTGCGTGTTTTCCCTTCAAATACTTTAAGCGGCTTGAAGTTTTAGACCCATCAACTTTTACTATGTTTTTGCAGATGTTGCAGGAGGCGATTTTTCCGTCTTTTATTTTCTCAAAGTAATCCCAAGCGTATGACTTTGTTTAAGACATCTAGATAGAAACTGTGCTAAAATGAAAAAGCCAAAGCTATTTAAACTACTTTACTTCACATAATTCTTAGAAATTGTCCGCTTCTACGTTGGATTCTTAGAAATGCCCACCAGTTGCTTCCGTATATAAGGATGCTGAAATTAAAACTAAAGGCCTATCCCAACCAAAGTATCCGATTGATTCTTGGAATTTTCTTATAACATGCCCAAATGTGGCATTTATTGTGGTCTGCTGGTTTCCAGGAAAAAGAGGTACAAGCAGCGGAGGGCACTAGTCGATATTGGCCAATATCGAATACTGTATTGACTTAGAGAGCTCAGCATAATTTAAGTGCATTTGCATAGCATTTACGAAGGGCAGTAGAAAACCCGGTACCTCATACCAATACCCGGTTAGCCGGTTTTGAGCTCTTTACCCTGCTACCCGGGTACTCGCCCAGCCCTAGTGATTACACAAGAGGGGTAGTTGGTGAGCTGTGTCCAGTGTTGGTCTTCTAACATAAGACCCATTTCTTTTTTAAGTAAGATCCGATGCAAATTCTAAGGCTCATCAGCATCACTCTCTTACTTTCCCTTGCTTTGATGCCCAACGACAGGCATTAACTATACATCCTTCTATTGATATTGGGTACTTTTCATTTTCATGATGGCAGTGTTTTATCTACTTTCCTTTATTTTTTCCCCCCATTTTTCACTTATTTTCTATGATCACGGTTTACTCAAGTTACAGATATGTTTTTCATATTTGTCAATCCCCGACGTGTTTGAGATATCAGTGCTTGACAGTATTTTTTTTCATATTTTGTTTGTTTCAGAAACGGTTGAAAAAGGCAATAGTAAAGGAAGGAGCAGGGCCCAGTGGGCTCAGATTAACCTTTTCGCAACGCGCTGCTCCACGCTGGCGGCCTGTTTTTATATTACCTCGAAACGTACCGCTCCTCTTTGGCGCGCGCTATTTCACAACCTTTCACGACGGGCCGCGCCACCCTGGATTCACGTACTTGTGCATGCAACAAAAAGTTTGCCTTTTCGTTTTTCACTGTCAAAATTTGAAAAAGTATTCAGATACCATTTTCGAATTGTTTCTTGCTGTCAGAAGTTGAGTTGCTTGAACACTTTTCGATTTACCGGCGAATTTCTGAAGTCACTTTCCAGAGCGTTCCCGAGACGTTTTTCATACGATACGCTGAACGTTGTGGCGCTTAGACCGACGCTGAGAAGACTCACTCTCAAAGGAGTCACGGATTCTATCTACATAGAATGGACCGATGATGAAGATGGTTTTGAAAGGATGAGGAAACTATGCCGGTTGACTATAAAGCATACCCGTTAAATTTTTGCCAAAGAAGCAACCAGTAGTGAATCGAGAATGCGTGAGGTTAGAATGCATAGACACTGATGATGTGATGATGGACGATAGGACTGACTGGTTGTTGAAATTACGATATGGCGACGGACATGCTGTACAGCTGTAAAGGAGAGTATAGAAAGACAAAAACATGAATAAGAATAAGTGGAGGGATTAGAAGATAAAATACTGTGGGCTTGAAACACAAACAACTTTCCCTGCGCTTCTCAGTTCACTGGAACTTGTATTCGGTGGAATCAAAATCTCACAACCCAAACAACCGTTTGCATTAGATATTTACTGGCTGATCATTACAGAGGCATTTATAAACTTTTATAAAACTAAAACAAAACGACAAATTGGGAAAGGGATCAATCGAAAAGATCTGCAAACCTTGGCAAGTCGTTTACGTTGCAAAACCAAGAAACCAGATAATCTTGTAGAAATGGAATGATTTTTGTTATCTATTTTCTTTCACATGGGTATACTCAAGATACTGACACTCTGCAACCACTGACCTGGAAGCCCATGCTTGCACTTATCTGTCTGCTGAATAATGATGTACACACAAAGAAAAGGTTTTTTGACAGTTCTCTCTTCTTGTTTCATAGGTCAAACAACATAGCGCAAGTGGACTACGGAGAGCTTTTTCATGACATAAAAGATAAAGCATTTAATTTATCCCGAATCTACAAGAGAATTTGTTTTTTTAACTTGTGAAAAGCATAACAGGACCTTGTATTGACGAACCATGGTATATTTCAAAGGCCGTTCCCGATCCAAGGTTTATAAATCTGAAGGATAAACCCACCAATGAAGGATTCAAACTAAGTGAAGTTTGCGAGAGAAAATCAGGGTACGTCTCTGTTCTCTAATGATGTACTGTGTCAAAAGACGATTCCACGTTTCTCTTTGCTAAAAAAAACGCCAAAAAAAAAAACCAAAAGAAAGAATAACTTTGGAATGTTTTAGGTTTGAAGGCTCGAGGGAAGTGGAAACTTAGCAGGTTTTGGAAGCGTATAAATCAGCCCTGCTTTAGAAAAGGTGAAGGTGTTTTAACTCAGGACCCACTCAACATACTACCCTACGCTACAAACAGCACGGTGGTTGAGTGTGATAATGGCATTATAAACATGAAAGGGTATGTATTGCCATTTTTTTGTGCTATAAAATCGAAACTTGAATCTGCTTGTACCGTCTTGAGTGAGAGAAACGAAAACCTGAAGAGGCCAACGGGCTTGGCTGCAATTGTAATATGAGGAACAAACAAAATAGCACGCTTTCTTATTGGCCACAGAAACTTAACGGAAGATTGATTTCCTCCTAGACTACAGTGATTAAGACAGGTTTGCTTTCTCGGTGGATTGCCTGATTTTGTGAGTTTTGAAAGTGGAACTATCACTGGGACAAGTGCTGGTGACCAAAAGGGACTAAGTAAAATGGCTATTTTTCTCCACAACTCGACCTGGCAGATATTGCAATTAGACTCCATTATTACTAGCTCCCTTCCGAATTGGAAAAACTTCTTGTACCCTAAGAAGAGTCTTTGAAGTGACACCTGAATACCTTACTTTGAATCAGACTATAGTACGGAAGGCTTTCCAGTCTACTCAGTAACACTGTTTGTTCTTCAATTTTTTTGTTTTGTTCTGTTCCCCTTTCTTTTCTCCTACACTGATCTTTGCAAAATTGTATTTTCAAGACCAGACTTGTTTTGTAACATTACCATTCCCGATTCCTTTTCTTTGCTGTAGTTTGAAGATCTTCATAGGGCTTACATTTGGTTGAATGGTTAGGGAGAAGCTATACTAAAGAAAACACAGATGTCAGGAACATGTAGGAAAATACAGCATTGACAAACCCACAGAATTTTTTGAAGGAATACAGAAAAACAATAATTATCAATTTTGACAGAAGAAAGAAGCGTTGGCAAATTGTGTTCCGGTGGTCAACATTCGTGAATCTTAACCCATGTCTCTTTACTTGAAATAGCAAAGAGTTTGGCGATAACACCACTAATGTCAGGAGAGAGAGAGAGAGAGAGAGAGAGAGAGAGAGAGAGAGAGAGAGAGAGAGAGAGAGACAGAGACAGAGACAGAGACAGAAAGGAGGGGGGGGGGGGGGGCAGAGACAGAAAGAGACAGAGAGACTTAGGTAGAGAGAGGAGAGAACAGACATTATTATTATGTGGTATAGCAGTTAGACGCTTCGCTTCCGCTCGCTGAATACCCGAATTCAGTTCCTGAGTGGGGAGAACATTTCTATCAAGTACATCGGTCTTTCTTCTGAGACGCTGGATTCCTTTCACCCTCGTTGACCTTGACAGGCATGGTCGGAAGCCCGCCTCCTTAATGATTTAGATAATGTCGGGGGGAGGGGCGTAAAGCTTCTACAGTTACATTTTAAGAGAGAAAGACAGACAGACAGACAGACAGACAGACAGACAGACAGACAGACAGACAGACAGACAGAGAGAGGGTTGGGGGAAGAGGGAGAGAGAGAGAGAGAGAGAGAGAGAGAGAGAGAGAGAGAGAGAGAGAGAGAGAGAGAGAGAGAGAGAGAGAGAGAGAGAGAGAGAGAAAGAGAGAGAGAGAGAGAGAGAGAGAGAGAGAGAGAGAGAGAGAGAGAGAGAGAGAGAGAGAGAGAGAGAACCTTGTCTCTCTTTGAACTTTTCAAATGTCGAAACTTCAAGGAACGTAAGGTCGGTCTCAAAGAGAGGAGAAACCCCTTTTCATTATTCACTTGATCAAAACATGTCCGGCATAGATAATTCAGGTGAACAATTTTATACTTTTCCTTCTTCCTTTTTTTTTGATAAGTGTCTTACGACCCTCACAGATGCACTAGGTCATGGACGCGCAGGACACATTTTCAGTTTGGTAGGAATTAAATTTGAATCTTGCCCAGGGAGTGGCTGCAGCCTCCTCTTATCGATTTTAGGATCACCAATGGATTTTTAACGTGCGCAACCTGCACACGGGATCTCCGAGTTTTGTTCATCCTTATCCGAGAAGACTAGATGTTAGATCTTACCTGCCCTGCGATCAGGGGTGTAGCTGAAAGACAGCAATAAGAAGGTGCCAAGGAGAAGCAGTAGAAAGGCAGCAGAAAGAGTCCAGAGGAGGAGGCAAAGGGGTAGAGCTTGGATAGGGCAGAAAGTGGAGACGAAATCAGACGCAAGAACATGATCAGAGAGCAGAAAAGAAGTCGAAAGGATACATTTTTTTCAGAGAAGAACATTTTCCGTCGCTTTCAGGTTTCGAACCCGGGACCTGTAGAATGAGAGGCGAACTCCTTACCTCTAGACTACGAGAACCCGCATTTTGCTTCAGGCGTAAGTTGATGAAGTGTTGGAACCACTTGGTAACATCTAGACTTATTCTTGAGAAAACACCCAGCAGAAACAGAGGGCAAATGTTGTCAAGAAATAAGTACTCAAGACGGTGGATGTGATCATGGGGTCCAGTGAATCTGACACTATTAGGTTGTAACATTCCTAACTATGAAAGAGGCATGTTCTTAAAGAGAGTCAGCAGGTTGAAAACAACACCACGGATACAGAACCTTTAGGTGGCAGTAGGAAATGTGCACAGAGCTGGGATGTCGGCAGTGAACAGAAAATGCCAACAGAAAATGACATTGCACTAGGGCTCAAACTGCAAAGTTGCACTCTATCCTGGCTGCTTTGAGGTGTACAACTCAACTCTGAACCGAAAGAAGCAGCTGACTCACCCGATGCTTGAGTATATTGAGCTGTTCATAAAGCTGCTCACAACAGCACATTTTTCACTCGTTAGGTTGATTTTTCTATTGGTTTTAGTTGAATTATATTTATCATGGATCACGCCAGTCTGAACAGGCGTTAAGATCATTGAAGAATGACCATTGAACTGTTTAGTGTGTGTATCGGGGTGTAGAATTTGTTTTGAAAACTTTTCTTTTTTTCAGCGTCATACCCTCTTTTGTACAGTTGACGACTTTTGTCAAAGAAAGTGAATGTGGTCCTAAAAACTATTTTTGTGTTGACAAAGATTTGAACTTTACTTTAACACCAAATACAAACATCTACGATTTAAAACCGTTGAGGTATGTTTCTTTGAAAATACCCCAAAATAGCGCGTTTCCAGGGAATAGCGCATATAAAATAATGGCGTTCTTAGGGAATGCGCACCGTGAAAGCCGCACGATGCGAAAAGGTTAAACCACAAATAACAGCTTATTTTGTTCTACAACAAAAGAGCAAGCTCATAAAAGTGAGTGAGCACATGAGTTGTGTGCAGCCAGTTGTATCTATGAATGTACATATTTTTGTGTGGTACATGTTCCTAAGACGAATAAAAAAACAAACCTTTTCAATCCACTGACTCCCGTGATTGGTGAAGTTTCCAGTCACAAATTCTGAGTCTGAAAATAAATATATCAATGTTATGAGTATTGACTCCTAACTTCTCTGAAAGAAACAATGTGTTGATAAACATAGCATCCAGCTACTACAAAGAAACATGGCACATATCCCTAAAACTCTGTACCAAGTTAAGTTTCCAAAGACAAAACTATATTTAGCAATGACCACGAAAAACCTTTTTTTTTTGTCAGAAAGTGTTTGCAAACAGGTGCATTGTGTAGCTGTATCTTAACAGAGCATGGAACTTTTTGAATTTTTAAAATCCATCAATAAACAAAAAAGTTACGAATTTTTTAATCAATTAATTTTTGGTACACTTTTATTTAATGAAAAAAACCCAAAATATGGGACGCTCTTTGGTGAGTTTTGAGACAATATTCATCATAACTCGCTCATTTCTCGGAGTATTTAAATGAAACTTGGCAACCCAGTACATATTCTAGTGCAGGAACTATTCCTGCTTTCAGATTTTTCATAGCTATCCTACTTTTTGAGTTATGAAGATGTTTATAGGTAAAAATGTGGCGGTTTTCGGTGCGTTTTGAGACAATATTCGTCATAGCTTGCCTATTTCTTGGAGTATGTAAATGAAACTTGGCAGTCTAGTACAGTTTTTGATGTAAAATCTAGTCATGCTGTCAGATTTTTAATATCTATCTTACTTTTTGAGTTGTAAAGACATTAACAGGTAAAAAAGTGGCGTTCTTTACAGATTTACAAAGATTATCAGTCATATCTTCTCCCAAAGTCATATTTGAATGAAACCTGGCAACATAAAAGGTTCCTCCTTGCCAAGCAATGCTTTGGATCAATTTGTCACAAAAATGTAAGTAGAGAACTGGATTTAGTCTAATAAATCAAGTTCTCTACTAGTAAAAGCATGCGTACTTTGTATTAGAACATATGATCGTCTCTGTGTATATCCATTGTTGGTCAGTGTCCTATTGTGTGGTAGATTAAGATGCGTTTATAGTTTACAAGTCATGGGAATATTTCGCATGTGTAGGCTACAACTCATACTATAAATGTAACATATTTACACACCCCCCTTCTCTCTCTCTCTCTCTCTCACGCACACACACTTGCACGCGCACGCACGCACGCGTGAACGATAACAATGTATAAACGGGACTATCTTCCCAGACTGGACTAAATTTTAATAAGTACCGTACTCTTTCATAACAATCTTAATGCCTCACTTTTCCAAACATAGCACACAGGACGAGTCCAAGTGTATGCTTTCCCAAGGGGGGCAATAGGCTTTCATAACGCAAACACAATGCCATACCACTTCTCAAAATGTTTGCTTTTCTGTTTCTATTCTTCTGTCATGCAATCAAGCAAATACAAATGACTACATCTATTGTATTGTGACTAAAATGCAACCAAAATGCAAGTTATCAAGGCCCTCGTTTAGTTTTCAAGTATCCTTCCCCCCCCCCCTTTCCGATTCACATAAGCGGGGCCTCGTTTGTAGCGCCCGAGGCAACCGATGGCTGATGACGTCACTCAGTGGAAATTTCCCAGCCGCCGGTCGTTCACCCAGCACGCGCAAATGGCAATGTCGCTTTTTCCCTTAGTTACTCCCACATTTTTAAAGATTACGCAAAAACCGCTAAACACAGAAGCATGAAATTTTAAGGGAATAAAGAAAAATGGTATACAACGTATCAGTCAGTTTGACAAATCACAGCTCCGAAAAATCTTCAAAGCGCACCACATCAACCACTTTCGCAAATGTTTTCGACTGCTTCTTGGACGGGTACAAAGTTGTCAAACTGCATACTACGAGATTGACCTCTTTTCTGATTGGCTGCCAAATTTCATTCATATCCATTCACGAGAAGCGGCGTGAGAGCGAGTTGAAGACAACAACCTTTGCGTTAGTTCGCCCCACGAAACACCCCCGCGGCGGGGGCCAAAAATCGGCAGAACAAAATGCGCTCGGTGGGCATTGCTACTATATTTTACCTATATTTTTTTCACTTAGGCCACAAAATAATTATATCATTATAATTTAGTAATGCACAGACTTCTCTCTGCCAAAAACAATCCTAGATAGAATAAAAATGCAGACTAAAGTACAATTAATATCTTGATTAGAACTGTACATTGACGATGTATTAATCTGCAAAGTGCAGAGAATAAACAATCAACAACTTACTTTCTTTGACAACTGGTGATCTTGACTGTCTCTGTTCCTCAGTACTGCTATTCAAAGAGGTATTTTTACTCCTCTCTGTATGAATTAATTTCAAGAGATCTGTAAAGGTAAGCAAAATATAATAAATAATGACATTAGAAACTGTGCTAACCACTGCCTAAAACTATAAAGCACTGTCGTTGAGTTGCAGTTTATATCGAGTCAGCATGACAATAGTAAAAAAAGCAGTAAAACAATTACAATATCTACCTGTTTATTTCTTGACTGTAAATACTAATTTCAAACAAATTCTCCATTTGTGTTGTTCATCATGGAGGGAGAAAAAGATTAAAGATTGAAGAGGCACTTCAGGCAAGCTTAACTTTTAAGTTAGAAAGGCTTATATACTTGTACATGTCACAAAGTGTCAGTTTCTCTGCGCTAAAGGAAAGAAAACAAAACCAGCGAACAAAATAAGGAGTCCATATAATCATTATAAAAGCTTTATATAAAAGTGTGAGATTTTAAGTAGAAATATAATTCAAAGTCTTACCTTTCTTAAACTCAATCAGTTTGTCTGAAGGAACATTTTGATATCCTAATCGAGCCAGCTCTTCTCGGATCTCATCATCAGTGAACTCCATCTTCACACTAATGCTGTTCCTACAGTGGAAAGAATATGTTTTCAGGTCAGTTTATTTTCACATTTTTAAAAAAGCTGTCTAACGAGTAATGTAAAGATGTTTGAACATTCTATATAAAAAAAAAACATGTAAAAGAGACAAATTTGTTGTAACGAAAAAAAGATTATGTGATAGCAAATCACTATTTCATTCATTTTGCAGATATTAATATAACTGATATAAGGTTCAGAACTAACATTTTCTATCTTATTTTTCACTCAGAAGTACACTCCACCCCCCCTTTCCTCTACACATAAAAATGTGGTCTGAACTTCAATTTTTTTACAATTTCTATTAGTAAACACTTCAGCTTTTATTGACACTTCAAACTTTTAGGGAAAAAAAAATGTTTTAAAACTTGTTCTATTTATACTAGTTTTCTTCATCATTCATCATATATTTCCATATAATTTATATTAAAAGAAACACAGGAATTTTTCATTAAAGAAGTAAGGATTAAAGAAGGTCAAGGTCTATGTCCTTTTATAGCGCTAGCTCGTTTCACGATTTAATTTCAAGTAGATCAACCCTACAAAAAGGGCCATGTGTGCTTCCTGGGTGTAGCCGTACTCATGCTCTATTTATACTGCTGCAGTACTTTGTAAGGGTTACAAAATTTGACTTGAATTTCTTTTTTTTTTACAATGCAAAAAAAAAAAGTAAGGAGAGAATGACAATGAACATGTCTACTTGATTATTAAAACTGTAAACATTACAATAGGCCTATAATATGATATTGTCCATTATGCCATTTCTTCAAGTGAAAGTATGTATTAAGTGTGGAGACCTTTGGATCAAACTCAAGGCTAAAGTAAGATTTTAACAACAGTAATTTCCACAAGAACAGTTCTAACACAAAATAAAAAAGAAGACGGGTGAAGACGGAAAATAATAAAATAATGGATTGCATTTATATAGCGCATATCCACTTATGCAATGCTCTATGCGCTTAACATGATACATATGATGGATTTACAAATCAATTTTAAAGGTACATAGTGTTACATACTCCTGCAAACACATATTCACTCACGCACGCACCACACACACATACACACATACAAACTCACAACGATCTACAGCTTGGATGGATTCTGTCTAATCGAACTATGATGAAA